ATTTTGTGATATGATTTTTACCAGTTGACCCTTTTGTCCACCAATCCTATGTGCTTGGCAGAGTCACTAACAAGCATAAACAGTTCATGGATTTAGTGTGCTCTTTGGTGGAAATGAAAAATTCCAAGATTTTGGGCAAGAACTCAGCAATCATAAAATTCCTTTGCAGCTGCCCAGGAAGAACACCGAGTTCCACCAGCACCCTCCTATGCAGATGGTGTCCTTCAAAACATTCACAAACATATTTTTAAATGGATGTGAGTGCAGAGAAATAGTCACACTTCAACTTAGCAGGTTGGACTGTAAACTGGTGCTGTGGATGGTCATTTGAGACTATTATTCAGAAATGGACGTTTGGCCTCTAGGAAATTATTCTGAGAAAATTGTTGTAAAGATATATTATGTACAAGGATGTTTCCGAGCATTAATTTTAATGTTGAAATTTGGAAGCCTCTAAAATTCAACAATAAAGGATTAATTAAATGAAATGTGATCCATCCATTCAATGAATTTTCCAGGGGGAAATCAGTCTTTTTCATGTAGAAGAGCTTTTCAGATAGAAAGGACCAATTTCCTCTTTTCACTTTGTGGAGGCATCCCTGTGGGTCACATCCTCCTGGGATAAGATAGCTGCTCTTCCTCTTTCTAAGAAGCTTCAGTGATGGACAGGTGGTAATAAAGAGAGCCTAGGTACTGCCAAGGGATAATAGAGACATAGACTTTTTACACGTGCACTGTAGGATTCTACAATCATAGGCACTAAACTGTGGGCAAAGTGATTATAAAGGGTCTTTCATGTTTCCTGAATTGCCTGTGTATTTTACAAAGTTTTATGGGGGGGGGAGGGGAATCTGTTTTGAAATATAAAAAAAAAAGCTATCAAGCCCACCCAATGCACAAATACCTTGAAGCTTGAGTGATAGTTAATAAATTAAGCATGCTAAACATAAAAACCCATGTTATTAACAAAGCAGCAGCAAGATAATAACATAGCTACAAACCAATGTCTGAATCATTGTGTGCTTCCAAGGAGCATGGTTTCAGATGCTCATCCAGTATGGATGATGTCATAGCCGTCACTGGCAATACAAGGCAATTTTGACTTAATCATGTATTGCAGAAAGTATAAATGTTTAAAAAAAATTCCATTCTCTGTTGTTTGCTAAGTGCACATGATGGCAAAGGAGGACTGTTTTGATGTGAAAATTGCCATTTCTATAATTTACAGCATGTCAATATCACACAGAGAAAAACTAAGTGCCAGATGCCTAGAAGAATGCTGCTGAGTGGCCCCCAAGACAGTTCTAAAGGCACAGTGGTGTCCTTGACACCCAAGGTTTGAATAATGACTATGCAGCCTTTATTCTCTCTCTGTCACCTCTGCTTGTAATTAAAAAGAACATATAGCATGCCAAGTAGATCTATATTTTAAGAGAAGAAAATGATTACTGTGTGTGTGTGTGTGTGTGTGTGTGTGTGTGTGTGTGTGTGTGTGTGTGTTTAAGAACTCTGCTCTGGATGTAATAAACCCTTAGATTACTTTATGAAGCTGAAATGGGTAAATAAATTTCAAGGACTGGCACATACCATGTAATGTAGTTCTTTTTTTTTTTTTTCCTTCACCACTTATCCCCCCAGACCCTTTTTGTCCAACACCACCTTCACTTTCTCCTCCACTACCTCCTCTCCCTCACCAGAGCAATCACCACACTGTTTGCTGTCCATGTCAATGATGAAGTGGTCTTAAACAATGCTTGGGAGCAGAGAATCTTATCTTACTCAGGAGATATATATGGAGGCCTTAAGCTTATTCATTATCTGTACAACTGAGGACATTACCAAGGCCAAGGCCGTGTGAAAGATGGCATTGAATCCACATCATTCAAGAAGCTGACCCTGGCCTATTTAAGTGAGGAAATTTAGCTTTTAAAATGTCCAAAGGAGCAACTTGCAAAAATGATGTGCTCTTTTCTGCCAATAATGCTATCGGAATTTAAATTTTTACCTTTGTGCTTTATGGTTATCATCACTGTGAAAGATTCATAATCAACAAGATTATTTTAATTTCAATCACTGGTAAAATTAGCAGTTTTGGCAATTCCATTTACTATCAATAGTGCTGCCATCTATGCATGATGTCATTAGGGCTTTCTGTAAATGCCTAAAATGGCAGCATGCCTGGAAATAAAAAATAAGACCTTTTAAAACAGTGAGCTTTGTGTTTCCATTGACATAAGACCCAGCCTTAGTCCCAGTGTTCGGGAGGAAGGGTGATATGGAAAGTAGAGAACTCTGGCCTGCTCTAACTGGAGTCACGTTTATTTTAAAAAACAACAATATATTTTACTGATTTTTTTTACAGAGAGGAAGAGAAAGGGGTAGAGAGTTAGAAACATCAATGAGAGAGAAATGTTGATCAGCTGCCTCCTGCACACCTCCTACTGGGGATGTGCCTGCAACCAAGGTACATACCCTTGACTGGAAATGAACCGGAGACCTTTCAGTCTGCAGTCCGATATCTATCCACTGAGCCAAACCGGTTAGGGCTGTAGTCACATTTTTTAAAATCATCTTTCTGTCTTTGACATATTTGAAAACCAAAGAATGGAACACACATTCACAGTGCAACCTGGTTCAACCCTGCAGATGGCACTAGTCATTAGTAAACCCTTTTGTTCCTGTGATCCGCAGGAGCCTTGACCTTGGCTTCTGAGTTGAGGCGACAGATGTGTGAAGCTGAGATCTGAATTTCTTGACCTGCAACCATCCCATGGAATAATTTGTAGCTTTCACATCAAGGTGAGCTCTAACTAAGTTGATTGAATTTGGCCTTTTAAAATGTAACTTGAAAACAAACAAATTTCATGACCTTAAGATCCTGACTTTTAACCATGCTCCTTAGAGGTCCAAGATAGAATAAGCCTTCCCAGCATGGGATCAGAGGTATTTATCGTTTCAGTCACTGTGGCCCTTGCTCAAATCCACCCAGGAAGGAGCTGTCTTAAAATCCAAGCCTCTTCTTCAGTGTTTTCAGTCTACTGGGACAAGTAGGAATCCACAACTCATTCCAAGGATGGCACAAAGCAGAAGTGTCTAAGTTCGGTCTCATTTATCAAGCATTCCTTGACCATTGCAGGCCAGAGAACTTCCTTCAGAGGGTCCAAATGAACTCTGCTCTCTTTTGGCCCCTACACTTAAATAAGCAACTAACGATACAAGCAATGGTAGGTTATATTCTGTTCACTCAAATAAACTACAAATCCATTCAATCAAGAGCCATGTCTGTATGTCTTTATAGCTCCTAGTACCAAATACAATTCCTTAAATATACGGGGTTTCCCCAAAAAATGTATACACAATTTGAATAATTATTTATTCCAATGGGTTAAATCTGCAAAGAAGGAAACATCAATTGAGTTACCAGCTGTTAGTGTGTATACATTTTCTAGGACACCCTATATTAAGAACTCAATAAACTCTGTTGACTGACCGACTGGGATGGTTTTCTATTTTCATATCTTCAACACATAGATGGCTTTTTCTGATTACCAGGATAGAACAGTTTTGAATAAATAATTGGGGAGGGAGGAGAATGCTACATTAAGACATTAGTTAATAATGCCTGGGACAAGACACTAAGAAAAAATTAGCAGAAAGTCTTTCAAAATCTTCTGCTGAGTCCTAATGTATAAAATAGGTAAGATCAGCAGTGCCTTGATTGAAGGACTGAGGAACCAGTATTCTGCCTCCTCAGCAGCCCTGCCCTTCCCTGCCATGTGGATCCCATAAAAATCTCTGTGGAAACAGAACTGCAAAGAACTTCATCTGAAACACCACCACCTAAACAGAGTTTAGTGTTTATAATTTCATTTATTTTTACCTTTTCTTATTTATTAACAATTCAATATATAGATAAAAGACCTTACTTCTTACTTAAATGCATTTCTTTGACACTCCCCATCCCCATTTCTACCGATAGCAAAAATGGACGAACTGGTGGTTCCCAGCCTAATTTGCTTTCTTAATTTTTTTTGTGGAGAAAATCTTTAAATCCTATTTCATCCTTGCTAGATCTCAGTCTTAGGCAGTAATTTAGGGGTTTAGACCCTATAATAACTAGAAACTGCATTGTCTATCACTCCTGACTGATGAAAACACTATATAAATGTCATCATCAAATCCAGGGTCGGGCCTGCAGGGAAGATTATTGTAGAGAAATGAAAGTTACTCATTCCTTCAGCTGATCATCACCCATCCATTTGCTAAAACCACCCACCCATCAGATACTTCCTGGGCATCTATAGAGAGAGCCTTAAGAACTCATTTTTGGCTCATTCCTCACAGAGTCTAGAATAATAAGAACAAGGTAGGTACTCAAAAAATATGTGGGGGGTCAAAGACCTTATTCTTGAACTCATGACATTGGGCTCTCAGAGAGGGCAAAACTATTTCTCAATTGTCTACTACAACTTCAGAGATAAACATTACAACCTTGTAAGAGCTTCCTTGAAGCTAAGCTCTATTTGCACAGTTACAGCTACAGCTTAATTCTATCCTAGGGTCCACTTGAGTGAAATAGGAATCAGTCCTATCTGCAAAATCACTAAGACAAAAACAAACAAACAAACAAACAAAACAAAAAAACCCCCCCACACACACACAAAAAAACAACTTTACACTTTAAGACATAAGACTCATTTGTTTATTTGGTGTGTTCTATACGTTGAGAAGGGAACATTTGGGGAAATAAATAAATAAATAATCAGACAAACGGAGACTTGAGGGCCCAGGAGCGGAGGGGGAGGAAGCGGAGTCCTTGCATAGTTCTAAACGAACAGAAGGTGGCAGCAGTAGGCAACGCGGATTCTCAGCAGAAATGCAGCACTTGCAAAAACCAGGGACAGGAGGCTTTGAGAAAGGTCAGAAGGTGACTATTTCTTTGTCATAGAGACCGTGGTGTGGAGCATCCGTCCTCACTACTGGGAACAGGATACAGCGTCTCACAGGATCTGCCTGGGCATCCCGTACCCCGTCATGCCCGCCTGGGAGGCGCCCTTGTTGCTGCCCATCTGCAGGCCTATCACATTCTGTCCTTGGCGAAGCTGCTCCTCTGAGAATCCTCTCCGATTCTGCTGGGCTTTCCTGGGCAGAGAGAGTGAGATGGAATAATGTCCTTCTGGCAGTTTTCAAATCCTTTGCAAGATATGTAGTTAGACAGGCCTTGGTGGGGGCGGTTACTAGATAGAAGAGCAGGCCCTGTCCTAGGCTTCATTCTGGCCATGGACTATGACCCTACCCTGAGCTATGGCTCTATCCTAAGCTATGGCTCTATCCTGAACAATGGCCCCACCTTGAGATGGGGTTCTACTCTGAGCTATGGCCACACCCTAAACCAGTGGTTAGCAAACTGCAGCTCATGAGCTGAGGTTTGCTGCTCTGTTGACTAATGAGTTTGCCGACCAGTGCCCTAAACAATAGACCCACCTGAGCTATGGTTCAATCCTAAACTACAGTTCTACCTTGAGCAATGGCCTTACTCTGAGTTATGGTTCTACCATAAGCCCTGCCATGATACATGAGCTCTCACTCCTTGGAAGCCCAGATGTTTTTCTAGAATTCCAGCCAAGATCAGTAGCTGCCTCTCTGGGGACTTCACTCTCGGATAACTTTTCTGTCACCCTCTCTCTCACAGTTACTTCAAACCCTTATGAAAATTAAAACCAGCTTTTCTTACAAAGCATGTCCTTAATCCTGTCCCAGTCATCCCTGTAAAGGCTAAGGGTTAAAGTTCCACTTTAGAGCTGAAGGACCTAGAAGTTATGAAGGGGAATTTTCTTACTCTAGACAAGAAGTCAGCAAACTTCAGTAAAGGGCCGGATAGAAACTAATTTGGCTGTGGGTGCCATAGAGACCATGGAAGGTCATTAATAACACTAGGACTGAAACAGGATTTCAACTGGCCAATATCTGGGTGATTTTCAGACCAAGTTTTTTGTTTTTTTTTTAATAACACAGAAATAACCCTCAAAAAGAAAGGGGGGTGGGTAAGGAAATGAAGAGTCAGTTAACTGGTACAACATTTTCTTTTCTCTTCATCTCCCACTGAATTATTGGGTTGAGTTTCAGCTCTCTTGATACCCCCAACTCCTGAAAAACAACATCAAAACAAGTCTCCTTAGGAAAACTGCCCTTTACTGATGTGACTGTAGAATTTATTATTCAGACCAGGCCACTTCCTGAGAGACTCCAGGACGACAGATATTAACCACTGTCTCAGCCAAATAAAACATATTTCCCTTCATTATGTAGATGATAGATAGATAGATAGATAGACAGATAGATAGATAGATAGATAGATAGATAGATAGATAGATAGATAGATATTTCCCTTCATTATGTAGATGATAGATAGATAGATAGATAGATAGATAGATAGATAGATAGATAGATAGATAGATAGATAGATGATAGATAGAAGAGAGAGATAGATGAGAGAGAAAAATAGAAAGAAAAAGAAAGAGAGAGAGCGAGAGAGAGAGAGTGAGAGAGAGAAAGAATAGATATTAGTTTGATTCAGGGCTACTTGGGTCATAATAAAACCAAGTTCAGACATCAAGCCACTCCTAAGAAAAGCAATTTAGTCCTGCTCAAACTCAGAAGGACCAGAACCTGGAAACAATGGTAGGAAAGGCCTGACCATTTCTGCCCCGGGGGGTGATGACCTGCACATCAGCATCAGTCTTCCCTCGCTCTGGGAGACTCAGTTGTGGGGCCAGGAGTGCTTGTCCCCAGGGACTTGTGTTGCAATAGCCTCTGGGGAGCTACATGGCTTCAGATGCTCCCTTCGTTAAAGTCAACCCGTGCTCCAGCAGGGCCGAGAACGGATTTTACCTGTGAAACCAGGATGGCTCTCCCCGGTAGCAGCCGTCATCCTTGGTGACTGCAACACTGCCTAGAGCCATCAGGGTCCTCTGCACAGCTGCCATGTCCTTCCCTGGAAACCAATGGAGACATTCAAGCCAAGCATGTGTTAGGGCCAAGGAGTCTGGAAAGAGGGGGCTGGACCTTCGGGAAGGAAGTTCTGATAAGAGGCTGCAGGCAATTGAGTTCAGGGAACAGGGATAGCAAATATTTCTCACAGTGGCCTGAAAACAAGCATAGCCCAACCTCTCAGAAACAAACAAACAAAAGAATCACCGGGCTCATTCTTTTCTATATGATGCATACCAGAGATGCCAGTTTCCAACCCGTGCAGAGTTGCTGGACGAATCAGACACTCACTTAGCAGCTCAGGTCTAGGTATGTCCCCACTCTGAGCAAGGCCCTGACCTGGGTGGGTGCTGCCGGCTGTGGCGCGGGGAAGTCCTGGGGCGGACTGGTGTGGTGGGTTAAGGAAGAGGATTTTCCTCAGGAGGGGAAGAGAGAAAAGGAGACTGGAAAGAAACTGGTTGGATGGATTAACTGCACCAAACCCCAGGTGGCTTCTCTCTTTCACTTTATCTGGGTTAAAAGGATCTAAAATCACCCATGTGCATCAAATTGAGTATTCACATGGCTATTTGGGCTGGAGGCCTGGCAAATGAAGAAAAAACAAATCAACACAGAAGCACTCAGTGACACAGATGAGAGACCCTTTATTTTGTGCTGCTTGAAGGAGTTAATGGAGACAATAAATAAGTGGTAGGCAAGCGTGCGTGAGAGAGAGAAAAAGAGAGGGGGGGGGGTGTCTATGGGAAGGAAAGCCCTGTTAGCTGAGATGGCCAGGGACCCTTAACACTATAGCTGAGATGGCCAGGGACCCTTAACTGCCATTCCCATCTTTCCTCCCTCCCTTCCAGTTGACATGTCCTGGACTGAGAAAGATGCTGCCGGGTGATTAGCCCATTTTAGAACCAGATCCCAGGTCCATATGAGCCAAGTTTGGATGCAAAATGTTCTAAAGGCACAGGGTTAGGAAGGAAGGCAGCCTGCAGCCTGCTGGGGAGTGGAGAAAGTTAAAGGACAGAGATTAAAAGGCTCTCTTCAGGCTGAGAGAGCCATCTGTGGGCTCTCCAGCCCAACCGCTGCCGCGAAGTCAGTCACTGGGAAATACAGAGTTCTGGGGAAAAGGCAGACGGGAAGTGAGAATGGACTACAACTCTAATAAAATAAACAATTAAGGCCTAAAGAGGAAGTCCATTTATTCAGAGATGAGAGAGATAGCAGATCCTTCTCTCCTCCTTCCCGTTAACCACAGGCAGTTTCCTGGACCCTGAGGCCCTGTGGGGCTGGTTAATGGATACAGGGATAAAATGCTCTTAATGCAGAGTCCCCAAGACTCAAGGGACAGCTGAGATGGCGGAGAATGGAGAATCTGGGCAGCGGAGGGAAGGAAGAGAGCGCAAGGAATACTGAGAATTAAGGAGGAAACACAGATGCAGTTATTAACATGACTTTTCTCTTCTGCAGATAAAAAACATTTCTGTAATTGTCGCTGAACAGCAGGATATGTGGATATTAAAAAATAGAACCGCGGTGATGCTGTTCTGAAGGACCACTCTGGGAAGAGAGGGAGAGGGTCTGATGTGAAGTAGTGAGTCATTAAAGAGGACCCAGAGAAATGCTTAAGCACAGGGAGGCTTAAGAAGGATAGGGTGAACCGCACATCTCCACTCTGTACAATGAGCACACTGGGGATGGCTCTGATGGTTGGTGTGTCCAGGTTTTGGGAATCTGTGGAGCTTGACAGCCAGCAACTCAGCCACAGACACGCTGCTGGAACTGTGGATGCAGAAGCAAGTTCTGTTAACCACAGGCCCAGCCTCCTTCCTGTGGCTGGCTAACGTGTATACTACACGAACCCAGAAGGATGGAGGGAACTAAGTTGGGGGTAAAAGGAAGATGTCTAGAACTATAAAGACCTCTCCACCTCCATCCCAGAGAATGGAAAAGGAAACAACTATACAACTGGGACAAAAGAAGCTAGGGAAGGAGGCCATCGATAGGAACAACATAGAAAGGTTTTCCTTAAGAGAATTCCCAAGGCAAAAGATTTTATATAAATTATAGGTGAGACACTTTACCATACGTGACATCGACCACATAGAATTGATACTATTCCTCCCAATGTATTGATAAAAAAATAAAAACGAATCCAGGGATATTAAGGAACTTGATTCACCCACCAAGTAGACTAGGGTCTGGCTTTAGCTCTGGTGTCTGAAAATAAAGCACACAGACCATCCAGTAAGCCACCTGACCAGGTCCCCAGCACAGGCTGGCTGAGGCACCTGCTTCGGCGATCAGGAAGGATCCGAAGGTACAGCACTGGCTGCTTCAGTGCCAGGCCAGAGCGAACTGGTAGGAGAAAACTGGCCACAGTTCTTGGACTCCATAAGATCAAAGGCACCAGCCACGAATGTTTTTGTCTGAAATAATTTCTCCAGGTCTCAACTCAAATAAGATTGAAGCAAGAGAAAGCAGTGCAAGTCAGTTATTGTCCAGATTCTAAACAACACCATAAACAGAAATCTGTGTCTGTAACTAGTTCCTGTCTAGCTTGTTTCTTGTCATGTGTGGTTACGTTTCTGGCAGATGCTCCTGGAAAGAATTCCAGCACTCAGGCCGAACTTCCCTTACCAGTTCTGAAGCCCAGACCAAGGGCTGTGGGTGGAAGGGGCCATTGGTGGAGGCTGATCCCTGTCCCTGGTGTAAAATGTCTAAAGGAGCAGTGAGATGAAGCAGTCTCTGTGAAGTGTGCCAGGTAGAAAGCAAGGAAAGCTATACTGCTGTGTCACCACCAAGTGCACCATCTGCAGAGAGCAAAGCCTGCTTCAGGGCAAGAGCTTCTTGGATGATTTATGGGATGGTGCAGGGGTCTCTTTAAAAATATGAATGTTGAGGTCATTCCCTTGGGAGACTGATTCGACAGGCCTGGGGTGGGACCTAGCAGTTTATATTCTTAATAAACTCGGGTTTCACCTGTTGGCTCCCAATGAGACTGATCATCAGAATTACCTGCGAATCTTAAAAATTCAGATTCTGGGATAATCTCCTGGGGCGATTGCAATGCAGCCAGGCTGGATAGGCAAGTACTGCTCCGGTTCTTTGGTTTTCAGTTTCTTAAAAAAGTAAAAAAGTCTGGCATTTGGTAAGCACTAAATAATATTTGTTAAGCAATAACTCCTTCCTTCAGAGATAGCTTCTACAAAGTCAAGTAGTAAAATCAATCATTAGAAGTGCTCTGCTCCAGGCTGTGAGCCAGCTCAGAGGCTTGGGAGCTTGGAATCTCTTTGCTCCCTGAAAGCTACCCCTAGATACTGTGGCAAGACCGTTTGAAAACCACTGCTCAAGGCTATTCTCCCAAGTGGGGTGTGGGGAGGTGGACAGAGAGAATAGAACTGACTAAGTGCTGGGAATTTTCTAAATGCTCAAGAGCAGAAATGAGATTGACGCCTAATGGGGATCTAAAAATGGGATTTCTACTCTGACCAGTGTGGCTCAATGGATAGTACAATGGCCCAAGCACCAAAAAGTCCCAGGTTCATTTCCCAGCCTTGGTCTCTCACATTGATGTTTCTCTTTCTTTCTCTCTGCTCACCTCCCTCTCACTCTCTCTTAAAAAAAAATAAATAATAAATCATTGGGGAAAAAATATTCTCGGGTGAGAATTAACACACACACACACACAAAAAAAATGAGACCGTTGGACAAAGGGTAGAGACACATGAAAGCGGAGTGGCCAAGTGTATACTAACTGGGAGTTTTAATCAAGCCACCTCTAGCCCCCCTGTCACAGAGGAAGCTAATTAGAACTTGAAGTTGTGAAAAAAGTTGGTGGCCCAGTAGCTTCCCTGTCTCACCAACAAAACTCAGAGAATCTCAGATATCAACTGCTACTTCTACTTGACAAGAGTGTCCCCTGTTTACTGCATTATCACAAAACAGTATTTCTCTAATGTCTTTCTCCCACTCCAAATCACCAAATAGTAAGCTCTGGGGAGCAGGGCCAAGGTTCTGCATTGTAAGGTCCCCCTGGCCCAACCTCAGGGATTCTTCATGCCCATAAAGTTCGAGGTCCATTACCCTAAAGATACTAGAACAAAGATTTGTGTGTTGTTTTCTAATTACTCTCATGATAGCTTCTGCAAGTCTGAAAAGAAAAATATAAAGAGAACAGTAAAAAAGGAAGGAAAAAAAAAAAAAGGCCAGAGAAACGTCACATTGGTGAAAAAAGTTGAGTTGGACATTCTACTTTCAACACTGAAACCCAGTCTTAATGTCAAAATTCTGCTCCAAAGCTTCTTCCATAGTACATCAGTTTTGACTCATCCTTTGCTACTTCTGGATTACTGGCTTTTTTTCATCTTTCTGCGACTTAGAGAGAAAGCAATCAGTGGAAGGAGGAGTCATTTCTTATTTCCCTGAGTAGTAACTTAGGCATAGGCCCCAATTCTCCTTCCAAGGTGGAGGAGAGCTTGCTGTAGTCCATGGAGAAACGTCTGAGGGGAGGCAGGGCTTGCACTGTGAATTCAATTAATTCTTGTTTCTTGTCTCACTGGAGAAACTCTCTAGGGGCAGTGGTTCCCAGAGCAGCAGAAGCAGTGTCGGCTATGAATTGGTAAGAAATGCAAATTCCTAGGCTCAGAAACTCTGGGGCTGGGCCCAGCAATGTGTTTTAACAAGGTGGTTCTGATGCACGTTGGGGTTTGAGAACCCCAGCCAGAGGAAAAACCAGCCAAACACAACTAGGAGCAGCACTTGTAAGAAATGCTGTGAAGGCTGTTCGGATAGAAAAGGTGGCTTCAGGCAGGAGGCATCTGTGATGTCTCAAGTCCCTAAGGCACCTCACAATAACCCAAAATATCTCAAATTGGGTGAAATGTCTCTTTGCTCTGCTGTTGAGGAATGACACATGCAGTGACACCTCCTCAGAGAATATATTTGGACTTTCCAGGCACTCAACCTCCGGATGTAAATCCCATCTCCCTCCTAACTGCCAGCCATCCGGGAGGGGAATAGGGAGGCATGACAAACCCATGTGTCTGGTTCCTCGTCAGTAAAATCCCTGAGAAGAGAAATCAGATTTGATTGATCTTTGAGTCTTGCCTGCTCTGACATTCTAGAATTCTACATGTGTAATGTACACCACCTAGTTAGGCAAAGGTTAGTCGTCAAGGGACTTGGAGTAGGGAAAGAAGCCAGCATTGTGCTAGGCATTTTACTCATTTAATCCTTACAAGAACCCTCTGAGGAAGGCGCTCGACCTGTTTACAGAGAAGGGAACTGAGGCTCTGAGAAGCTAAGCAGTACAAACAAGGTCACACAAGTAGGATGTAGTTAAAGGGTTTCAACTCATCTACATGGCTCCTAGACTCATGCTCTTCCCACGGTGCTGAGATCTTCTGGGTCTGAAATTGGGGAAAGACATCAAGAGGATAATGACCAGTTCTTAGCTGGTTTGGCTGAGGATAGAGCATTGGCCTGTGGACTGAAGGGTCCTGTGTTCGATTCCAGTCAAGGGCACATCCCGGGTTGCAGGCTCAATCCCCATTAGGGGGCATGCAGGAGGCATTCAATCAATGATCCACTCTCTTCGTTGATGTTTCTATCTCTCTTTCCCTCTCCCTTCCTCTTCGAAATCAATAAAAAAAAAAAAAAAAATTTAAAGAGGGTAATGGCCAGGAGGTGGGAAAAAATCAGTAAGGTGACCTGCAAAGCCTGCCCCTCCCTACTGAGGAATGGCAGACAAATGAGGGCAAAGGTCATCCAGGTAACCCTACCAGCTTCTGTGTGAAGCCATTAATGGAATCCATTCATTACAAGACAAAATTTGTGCCATTCCAGCCTTGCTCCTGTGTTCTCATTTTGTATGTATTAAAAAAAAAAAAAAAAAAAAAAAAGTCCAGGCCAATCACAGTAATTTTTACATTTATTATGTGCTATTATTGCCAGGCACTATGCTAAGCACTGTTCACATTATCTCACTTACTCCCCATGTCAAGCCTGTGAAGTAGATGTGATTATTCTCATTTACAGCTGAGGAAATAGAAGCTTACAAAAGTTAATTGATAGGTGATAGAGCAGAGCCTATCACAGTCTAATTTCTGACTCACTGGACTACTTTCCAGGTTAAGTGTAGTCTTTGTGTCTGTCTGACCAGCATACTCACTAACTCACATGTTCTCTCTCTTTTACACACACACACACACACACACACACACACACTTTTCTTGCTCATCCCTTTCTCTCCTTCCCCCTTTCCCTCTGAAGATGCTAAAATCTAACCTCCAGCTGAAACCGGTTTGGCTCGGTGGATAGAGCTCAGCCTGTGAACTGAAGGGCCCCAGGTTCAATTCCGGTTAAGGGCATGTACCTTGGTTGTGGGCACATCCCCCGTAGGGGACATGCAAGAGGCAGCTTATCGATGACTCTCTCTCACCGATGTTTCTAACTCTCTATCTCTCTCCTTTCCTCTCTAAAAAATCAATAAAATATATTTATTAAAATAATAAGTAAATAAAAATAAAATAAAATAAAATCTAACCTCCAGTTTGCTCGTCTCTGAGTCACAGACAGCTGAGTCAGCCCCACCCCTGCCCTTTCCAGTGACCCTCTCTCAAAGTCACCAACCGGAGACTCAGTTACTCTCGTTGAAGAGAGACTTGCCCAGTCCCCTCCCATGCTCTATGTGTCCTTACTCCTTCGGCATCACCAGCTCCCTCCCAAGGAACTTGACTAGCTTTGTCTATAACATCCCTGTGAATGGGTTGTTTTCTGGACCATTCAGCCCTGGGTTCCTTTTTAAAGTCCAGAACCTTTCATTCTGGTGCACCATTCAATTCCAAACATTTCATGTTGTGTCTAAAAGGATTTTCAGGATAGTGGGTACCTCTAGAGCCTCTGCCCGTCTAGATAACTGAAGCCTAAATAGAAGGCATTTGGCAAGCCTGGACTCCAGGCTCTGTGTCTGCAAAGTAATAGCAGCACAGAGTCACCAGGCAGCTATGAGCAGGATGAGCCCTCCATGGAGAGATGCCAGGCAGAGGGGAAGGGGAGCTGAGAGGTGCGGAGCATAACATGCATGCAGAGGAGGAAGAGAAGCACTCAGGCAAGGAAGGCCGGACCTGCAAGAGCCAGGGCCACGTGGGCAGAATCAGGAGTGAATGTGAGTAAACGGAAAACCACAGTCAGGGTGTAGAATAGCAGGGAGAATGTGGCACTAAGCTAAGCAAATGGCTAGTCCAATAGCTCTGTATACAAACACACACATGCCATACACACATAGACACACTAACTATGCCTCACAGAATCCTCTAATGCCTGCATACTCATCCCTAAACTCAAGAATGACAACCAGCTCTTACAGAAAGGACCCAGCCTCGGTTGCTCAATCCAAGTGCCATACTGTGGGCTCACTACCGGGTTTTCTAGGGCCACTGCCCCTCCCCCTTTCTCTGCTCAAAGCAACCCACTTCCCACCTCTTGCTCCGTTGCATAGAAACCAGCTCTGGCTTGAGCTTCAGACAGTGATCTTGGGGGATGTCAAGTACCTCCCCTAAGGTTTAGAATGAGTCTCCCTGAAATTCAGTTCTCAGTTATCCTTCCATGGAGAGGGCCACACATCCTGGGGATGCTAGAGGCCATCTGGACACTCCTACACACTGCTTTCCTATGGCCAGCTATCCTTCCTACTGCATGGCCTTACCCACAGTAGGCCAGCCATAGTACTCAGGAGTGGGTTTCCTCCCTTATTCCTTTAAAGCCCCATCCTTCTTCTGCCTGAGGTTGAGACCCCTCCGTGTCTGCCTTGTTGGCTTTTTCTAGGAGCATTAACCTGTCCTGGAGTCCACCTGTCCACTACCCTATCTCTGCCTCTCAACCTCCCTCTTCCCTAAGAGGTATCTAACACCCAGGGCTGGGGAGGTGTTGTAGATCAATACCTACTCTCCTTCCCCCATCACTGTCAGCACCTCCTGGGTGTAAAAGTTCATCTGCATAGTCTTTGGAAAAGGGGGAAAGGTGAGCAAAGCATCCTCAGTAATGGAAAGTCAGAAAAGCACCCTAGGGAGACACACCTCTCATACACCTCCCAGGTTCTTCATCCTCTTACACTTCCTGTACTTGGGGAGAGGTTATGGGGACCACTTCCCTTTACACAAACCCCCTAGTTAGTGCAGGTGCTCTAGCCTTTCGTCCCACACAGCTCTGACTCATCCTCCTCCTTTTCAGACTCATTTATCATCATTATGACTCAATAGCTCACTCATAGTCTAAGTGAAGGCAACAGCCTACTGGCGGAAGCGTGGCATGGCAGACTATAGTTAAGGCCTTATTCTTTGGCATCAGAAAGACTGAGTTTGAGTCCTGAGCTCTGCTAATTACCAGCCAGCCAAATGATGAACACGTGCAACCATGGGCAAGCTCCAGTTTTGTCATTTATGAAATGAGAGAATTAACAACTTTTACTTCATAGAACTGTAGGAGAATTGATTGGCAGTATGTAGGAAAGCACTTGAACCTTGCCTAGTGCATAGGAAAATATCAATAAGCAGTAGCTATCTTCATTAGCTGGGAAAACTCATCATCGTTTTGAGCTAAACAGGAAGTATCAACTGTGGCATTCCACAGTGATTTAGAAGCACGTGCCCATAAAGTCAATGGCCTGGCCTGAATGTCTGGATACCCAATTTTCCAAGTAATGGCAGACACAAGGAATCTTATGACAGGCATCTTAGGATTTTAGCTACTCATCTGTGAGTGAAACAGGAAATGCCAGCTCTCTACCTATAACATAGAGTAGGCTGTTATGATTAAGGAGGCAACAGTTTCTTTTTAAGTTGTTTAGTAGCCTAGTGTTCTGCTAGAAATATATTTCAACCATCTTTTGACTGTCCCTTAAAATCTCATTGTCTATTGATCACAGGAAAGTTACCCCATTTTCTCTGCCAGCAGAACCATTTGGGTCGATGCCCCGAGCATCCTGCTGGTTGGGTCACTTATGACAGCCAGTGACAATGAGCAGGACAAAGCACAGGCAACCTGGAAATCCTGCTGGGATTGGTCTGTGGCTTCCTGTGCCCAGGCAGGTCTCATGTGAACAGTCACATGGATGGGTGCCTGCATTTGATCTCATTTCCCCTCATTTCCCCCAATAATGGTGAATTGTTAAATATGTCCTGAAATGTGATATGATTTTCATGCCTCTTAAGGTTTCTCAATCAAGTCAATTTGCAAATGTAAAAGAAGCCATTTATCAGACTCTGATAGAACACATATTTAGAAGGTGTAGTCACCAAGCTCATAGTTTAATAAATGGTTAGTTGAGGTGTTATTTATTTCTGAGACTGAATGACAAATTGTACCAGGTGGCTTTATCTAAGAGCCCCACTGCTGGTGAGTCAGAAACACACACACACACACACACACACACACACACACACTCCCCACTCTCTCCCAGTAGCTTTTTGTTCAGAAAGAGTATGATGTGGGAGGGATAGCTGGAATCAACAGCACCCATATAATGATTTTAGCTTCCTCTCTGTTTACTCCTTAGTGTTCTGAGGTCCCTGCTGTGAAAGGGGGTGTGCATTTCCTTCAATGAAACATCATAAAAGGGAGGCTAACAACACCCCTGGCTGACAGCTGGTAACACTCCCCCACCTCACACACACACACACACACACACACACACACACACACACACACTCACACACACAGGCACAGGGAAGAACACCGTGAGCAGATTTCACAAAGAGATGGGTGGGCAAGGGGAGGAGAGGGGGGGTGGATAGTCCCAAAGGCACAGGGCTGTTTACCTTCCCATAAATCCACTGTTTGGAAAATGTCAGTGGTCCTGACACCATAGGCCTCTGCAGCTTTCAGGAACTGGGAGATCTGCTCCATCTGTTTAAAAGCCATCTTGGACCCTGAGATCTTGGCAATGGGCTCTTGCCCAGGTGGGTATAAGCTGTTTATCAGCTTGCACAGGACCTGAAGGGGGAAAGGCAGGGACACCATCAATTTTCCCTTCGATATTTACCCACCACTAATGCAAAGTGAACCCTAGCCCCCACCGGGCACAGCTGAGAGGTTTGACACAGGCAAGTCTTGGGCCCCAGGCAGGCATGGACTCTAAGCTGGATGGCCAGGCTCCCATACCAAACCCCAAAGACTCAGGCAACCCCATCCCAGGACTGCTGCTGACCTCGGGGAGTCCAGTAGCCCAGGAATCCCCTTCCATCCTTGCTCCTCCCTTCCTTCTTCCGGGTGAGGGTAAGAATGTTTACAGATAGGAAATGCTGTTCAGGGAGGAGGCCATGGTTTCAATGCAGGGATGAGCTAGTGGTGGTGCCCAGGGTGGCCAAACAATAGCATCTAAGATGATTTCTGCTATCAAAAGGCCGATCAGAATCAGCCTTCAGGAACTCATCCCATATATGCTAATGAATTATACACCCTCCTCCCAGATACCTGTCACCCAAATGCTGGGCAGCCCAGCAGAAGCGAGGGATAACAGTTATGTAACGGCAGTCAATCACACCCTGAAGGGAAAAGATGGGCTCTGTTGGAATCAGCAGAGTCTGCAGTCCCCGATTTCCCAAACACAGGAGCATCAGGTCAGAAAAGCGCTCTCAAATAAGCATGGCCTTCCATTCCCTGAGAGCCCCTCCATTCATCGGACAGACAAGGAGCACCCCGGGGGGTATGGCTCTGGAAGGAAGGTGGCCAATCTCCCCCTCTCCTTTGTTTTACTAAGTAACCAACCCATTCCCCGAGGGAAGGGATGGCCCCAGATGAGCGGATGCACCAAAAAGCCTGGACCAATCTCAAGGAAATAACTTACCTCTATTCTCCCTTGAAGAGCAAAAGGGCTTCGGATTTGCCAACAAATCCGAAGGCAGCTGCTGTGTTGGATGGATGGAGGATCCCCTGAGCTAGCTAGCTAGGGAATGGGGGTTGGGGGTAAGGGTAGTGAGGGATGCCCAGATCTTCCAACCCCAAGTAAATCAAGGCATTTCCATTCCCTCCCAGGGGACCCCAAGTGGACAGCAGCTGCTCCCCCTACCACAGCCTCCCCTGAAAAGAGAAAGCCCCCCGGAGGCTCCCCTGCCCACCGACCCCGCCGCCCTCACCGTCCCGTCCATCAGCCACTGCTGGAAATGGGCCCTGCCGGGGGGCGGGTGCTCGATGTCCTCGGCGCACTGCAGCATGATCCAGTCCACCAGCTTGTTCTCCAGGTCCGCGTCGTACTTCTGCTCGATCTTCTCCTGCACCTCCCGGCTCAGGCCGTAGCTGGGGCCGCGGTTCGCCATCGCTGCGCTGGGCGGGCGGGCGCGCGGCATCCACACAATAGCGCGCGGCTGGAGGCTGGAGGTGGCCGGGCCGCTGGCCCGCGGCAGCCGAGCGCGGAGAGAACCGGGCGTGGTTTAAACCCGGGAGCCAATGGAGCCGCAGGGATTGCACCTACAAACAAGAGAGAGCGCAGCCACACGCCAGTGACTCCAGAATAAAGCCCCTGCGGTCCGGGGGCGAGGGAGGAGGGGGGTGCTGGAACCCGCCTCTCCGCCCCGCCTATCCGCCCGATGAGATGATGATGTACGAGGACTCACATTCACAGGCAGCGAGGGGGAGGCAGGGTGGTCATGTCTCACTTCTTCCAGGAGCACCCTGAGATGGGACGGAGCAGGTGAATATCAGGCGGCGAGGAAGGTCGCCTGGACGACCAGCTGCCTCTGCTGCATTGGCTTTTGCTAGAATGGTGCACTGATTTGATTTTTTTCCGGGCTGAGGGAGGTCACACCAGGGCCGTTGCTAAGAGCCCTCAAAAAAAAAAAAAAAAAAAAAAAAAAAAACCAAAAAAACAACAACAGCCCTCTCCTGCTGTCAGTCAAGCCCGCCGCCTCCCTCCCGCTGGGAGCTTCTTTCTCAGCTGCAAGGATTCCCGCCCCTCCTCTGGGGGACGCGGCCCCTTGGGTCCCAGGCCAGCGCACAGCTGCACGGGGGATGGGGCCTGGGAGAGGGTCCATGCAGTCAGCTGTCCATCTGTCAGGGGTTGCCAAGCCCCTCCCCCCTGCCCCTGCCCGGGGGAATAGTCGTCTGGCAGGACAGGACAGGAGGAACTGAGAGCTACAGCCATTAACGTCCTCTGCCGCCAGCCAGATTTCACCCAGAAATCTGGTGGGTAACTGTTTGTGCCTCGATTTGGCTTATCCAAGGACTGCAGCTTTCTAATGCTGTTTTTACTAGAAAGACACCAAGAGCATGTTTGATAAATTAAAAGGAGCTCGATATGCTAAGAACTCTTGGATTAAAAGATTTGGATGGGGTGTAAAGATTTTAATTAAGGAACAGTAGAGGACAACTATATGTTATCAGTGGTAACTATGTTTGCAAACAAGACTTCAGAAGAAATCATTGGACTTAAGTTGACCTGAAATTTTTATAACTTAAAGGGTTTGGCAGTTTGCTTATCTTCCTAGTCTGGTAGTGAAGATTGAGTCATACTGCTTTTGTCTAAGTCTCTGGGTACTTATCGTGAGAGAAAGAGCCAAAAAATTGTTCTCTGGTTCATTCAACAAATAGTTTTTGAGCTCTTACCTGTCGGTCTGTGTCACATTCTGTGCATGAGAGGAATAAAGTATAATTCTTGCCTCAGGAACACTTGATCAATTGACTCAGGCACATTAGATAAAGCAATTCTAGTACTTGGGATGGTGATCTTGGTTTTTGTGGGAAATTGATTAGAAGCTAGGCAGGAAATGACTCCTCAAATAATACATGTATTGAAAAAAAAAAAAATCTACCCCTGGCTGGAGCCTGGACTATTGAAAATTTAATTACTTAGTACATATGTGGTGGGTGTGCCTGAGAAAAGACTTAGTGGCCAGTAGTTGAAGGCCTAGGTGAGAGAATTCTGAAAAACTAAGTTTGGTAAATTCAAGAGTTTTGAGGAGAGCAGCCAGTTTATAAAACAGCATGAGAAGGGCTGGCTGACTAATGAAGTTCTTGTTGCTGCGTGGAATTCTCAGTAGAAGAAGCTCTACAGACAAGAGAATTCTCTCCAGAGACTTGGAGCTTAGGGAAAGGGTGGGAAAACTTGTCAGCAGAATTTTGAACGTCACAGAGTTGTATCATGGGTGGTAGCAATAAGGGCAATTCCAACCTCAGCCTAAGGAAAAGGAGGCCCAGAGAGAAGATATGCCACTTTCTCTGTGGCTGAAATTACTTTAAGGAAGACAGTGGTTTGTTAATAAAGAGAGAAACAATTCTGAAAGAGGTACATTTGCCCCCATTTAATATTTTTTCAGGCTATACTTTGCAGATCTTTTGTACCCGAAGATTTCTTCCCATTATAACAAAACTAAAGGCTCAGTGCACAAAATTCAGGTGTGTGTGTGGGGGGGGCGGGGGGGGTCCCCTCAGCCCAGCCTGCACCTTCTCCAATCTGGGACCCCTCAAGGGATGTCCAACTGCCCATTTTGGCCCAATCCCAGTAGGACCCAAGGAGGGTTGGGTCCTCCCCAGCTACCCTTTCCTGCAGGCCCTGTTGCCCCAGTAGGATTGGGCCAAAACAGGCAGCTGGACATCCCTCTCACAATCCAGGACTGCTGGCTCCCAACTGCTCACCTGCTTGCCTTCCTGATTGCCCCTAACCACTTCTGCCTGCCAGCCTGATCACCCCCTAACCACTCCCTTGCCAGCCTGATTGATGTCTAACTGCCCCCCTGACAGCCTATTTACCCCCAACTTCCCTCCTCTGCCGGCCTGGTCACCCCTAACTGCCCTCCCCTGCAGGGCTGGGTCCTCCCCAGCTACTCTTTTCTGCAGGCCCTGTTGCCCCTTACAACCCTCCTCTGCGGGCCTGGTCACCTTAACTGCCCTTTCCTGCAGGCTTGATCGCCCCAACTGCCCTCCCTTACAGACTTGGTCCCTTCCAACTACCTTCTCCTGCTGGCCATCTTGTGATAGCCATCTTGTGTCCACATGAGCGAAGCCATTTTTGACCACATGGGGGCAGCCATCTTGTGTGTTGGAGTGACAGTCCATTTGCATATTACTTTTTTATTAGATAGGATAGAGGCCTGGTGCACTGGTGGGGGCTGGCTGGTTTGCCCTGAAGTGTGTCTTAGATCAGGGTGGGGGTTCCCTTGGGGTGCAGGGCAGCCTGGGAGAGGGGCCTGTGGTGGTGTGCAGGCCGACCATGACCCCCAGTGACCCAAGCATAGGCCAGGGCTGGCTGGAAGAAGGCATCTGGGATTTATTTATCTTCTATAATTGAAACTTTGTAGACTTGAGTGGAGGCCAGGGCTGGCCAGGGCAGGTGGAAAGCTTGGCTTCCTCCTTCACCAGGAGCAATCCAAGCCTCCTGCTTGCTCCAGCTCCATGGCTGCTACCATCTTAGTTTGTTAATTTGCATACTTACTCTGATTGGCTGGTGGGCATAGCAAAGTGATGGTCAATTTGCATGTTTCTCTTTTATTAGATCAGATAATAAACTTGCTTAATTAGACCTGTTTAGCTAAACTTTTTCCAGCCCAGTGAAGCACCCCAACTTCTCTTTCAGGTAATTGTTAGCAACACAGCAAATATCAATACAAAGCAGATTATTATTAAAGGGCACACAGGGAGGGGAAAAAAAGGGTAAAATATTAAACTGCAGCTGTGTTTGACTATATTCTATGCAGAGAGAAAACCTGATATCATTTTCAAGGTCCACCATTTCTTACTTTTCAGCAGGTCAAATTTCTAAGCTTCCTAAATCTTTGTTTTCTGGCTAATGAGAAGAAAATAGGATTCCATTGAGTCTCCTATGTATCTATTCCAGGACTTCTGTGAAAGTCAAATGAGATGAGGCACAGACATTTAATGTAAAATGTTTCCACCTGGCTATAAATCAAGTAGTGTTACTGGGCTAAAGAAACTGCAAGATTAGTTTCTAGGGAGAAGAAGCTGGCATTGCTATGTGATGTCATTACCCTGATGAACACTTAGCATATTAGCCTTTTATATATATATATATATATATATATATATATATATATATATATATATATATATATATATATAAATTGTCAGTCAGATGATCACATGGAAGTATGATCAGTCACTTAGTCTTTTAAATATATAGATTAACATCTAGGGAGGAACCAGGGAAGGTTACATGAAATTCATGGAGGTAGATGAGAAAGATGTGAGAAAGCAAAGTGGGGAAATCTGAGTCTGGAAATGAATAGTCCTCTGCTATTTCAAAGGTATGTTATCTCTGATGCACAAAGACAATTTCAAAGGTAAATATTGACCTTTATCAAAGAAGCTACAGGCCCAGGTAGCCCTCATGACCCACTTTTAGTTAGGAATTGTTATGTTCAGACAACCCTGTCTCTGAGTTTGTAAGACTCACCATGCAGGCCTCCCCTGAGCTTATCACATTTAGTATGTGACTCATTTTTCATCTAGCTAGTATGTATTCTACATAACAATGTCCTACTGGCCACTTCTTCCCAGCTTCCTCATATTCAGTGACAACACAGTGGCAGCTTGAAAGCAGCCAAGAGTATTTATGCCATAGATGTTGGTAAAGTCTATGAATCAAGGTGCCCCCCACCTCGAACACCCTGGAAATTTAGACTTACATATCATGCAAAAGAAATGTGTATGCGTGTTTTTATAGTGAGAGAGAACCATCAGTTCTGATTTGGATGAAAGAAAGGGAGAGGGTCAGATGACTAAGAAGTTTGACAGGGATACTTATTGTACATGGACTCACAGGTAGGGAGGCATCTGAAGGGTGAGGATAATAAGGTGTGTACTCATTGCATTTGGGAGGTACATGGTTCATCCCAGTTCATTAGGTTTTATGTATTTGGAGCTCAGGAGAATGGAGGAGTGTACTTGAATCATCTGTATGCAGGTAGCACTTAAAACCCAGAGCAGAGGTATGGTTGCTCAAGGTACATAAGTAAGTACCAAGGTCAGAATGAAAAGGACATATTAACATTACAAGGTGGGTAAGGAGGAGAGTCAGTAAAATGGGTTGATGTAGCATGGGTCAGAGACACCTGGGGATAAACAATGGCAACACCTCTGACCTCAATGGTCCTTTGAGAGAGGGAGGCTTGCATATAAACTGAGCATCTCAAAGGAGTAAGTTCTATCAAAGGACATGAGGAGAGTGCTTGCTTTTCATGAGAGAGCACAGAGGACCCAGTGGAGAGAAAGAGAGATGAGGAGCTCCTTTGATCTGTCATCAAAACCCTGGAAACCCAAGACAAGAGAGAGCCCAAATGAGAATCATCTCCTCTGAAGATTCATTTGGTTTTAAAAAAACCTGCCTGCCTTTTTCTAGATATATTCTCTAAACAGCAAATCATTACTTACATTTTCCCCTTGAACCAAGTTATGCATATGAGTATGTTCTAAACTAAAAAAGTTAGATTTGTATGTAGAGGGGATCTTAAAATGTACATAATTCTACCCATCTTCCTCCAGAAAATACAAGTTCTTTAGTAAATCATCCCAAATTTAATAAATATGTGACATATTCTTTTTGGGCGCTGCCCTGGAAATGGCTATGTGGTGGGTAATGTTCTCCTGGCTTTCTATCTCCTTTACAAAACTCAGCCCTGCCCAACGCCCTTTTCCTCTTCTCCTCTGCATAAGCCTTTCTGTTGGTTCCTCAGAGCACAGCACACTGTTTAGATTTGGCTGGAAGTGCCTCTGAGCTTAGCAGATGCAGCAGCAGCAAGTACAGTGTATCATGTGGCCTCACTGAGCCTTCCTTCCCATTGAATGCTGAGGTTGTTTAGAGGGGTCACGTCACTTGTTAAATAACTTGGGAGATCAATAGCATAAGGCACTCAGGGCTGCTGGTTGTTGGAGCATTTTCCATGTCACTGAATATATGGCGTAGAGTGGTTTTAGGTGGGGGAAGCGGGGAGAAGAGTTTTGGGAAAAATAAAAAAGGAACATTGAAGAAATTAATAATTTACCAGAATACACTAAATTCCACTGATTCAAACTCCTATTGAATTTTTGATGTTACCTTCTGCAAAGCTAGATTAAATTTTAAAATGGTTTCTATCTTTACTTTCCCCTCACCCTTTAACCATTGAACATGTGAAAGGACACCATACCACACATGCTCCAGATCATCACAGGAAGTTAGTAAAGGATAACTACTACTTTGCCTCTACTTTTCTTCCTAAATGCCCCACTGATTGCATTCATCCATTTCTCTTAGGACTGTGCTCTGTGCATACTAAAAGAGAAAAGGTAGTGAGTGATTCCTATGTTTCTTTCTATTTGTGCTATACTTAATTCCTACACTTTATCATCTAGGTTTATACTGCCATTTTACAGATTAGGAAACCTCAGGGAGGGTAAGTATATTGTATCACAGGGCTAGTAAATGGTGGACCAGGATTTAAGTCTACTCTATAGTCTGTCAGTAACCTTGTACATACTATTCTTCCTCTATAGATGTACTATGACTCTATAATCATATTTATTACATTTTATTGTCAGTATGTTTAATCCTAGAAAATTCCCATGGGCTGGGCCCTTTCCTCCTCATCTTTGTAATCCTTGTGCCTGGCAGTGACTGGAACAGCTCTCCTGCCATCCACTATCAACTGCTTCTAGCACCAGGTACTGTGGCACACACAATTCTCGTATTTGTGATTTTTTGTTTGGTATAAAAGATAACTCAGACTGTAGTTTCATTGCCTTGTAGGACATTAACCAGTTTCCTATCTGTGTCAGGCTTACCAAAGAGCACTTCCAGGTGTACTCACAGCTACAACTCATGAGAGCGAAAAGATACAAAGCAAAATCTGCAAAGAAAAAAGGAACCTGAGGTGAAATCTGGAAAACCTAGGCTTGAAGCATCAAAGAATTCTCCCCCAGTGGAGTCACACCGGATGAACTTAATCCCAGCCATGCTGTGACAGCCCAGAGTTTTCACTAGGAGCTGGCCACTCAGGCAGTCTCTGCCTGGCACCTTTTCCAGACAAAATTCCAGACTCCCAGAAGGCAAGCAGGTGTTCAGCACAAACCACATTGTTTGCACAGACAGTATATGCACAGTGAACCACTTTTGTCAGTACTGGGGACCCTCCTAAAATTCAAGTTCCCAGATGCCAGCCAACGGCCAATCTGGTGAGCAGGCCTCTGAGGATAAATTTTCAGGCTGCTGCTATGTTAACTCTTTTTGACACAACAATTTTATCCAGCATTCTTTCTTCATGTTGTCAATTTTGTTTTACTTTGACAGACACAACTCTAGTAAGCTAACGTCCAACCAAACCTAAAATCTAAAATACACCAACTCAATAGTATTGAGACTGACTACTGCAGTTATTAAAAAAAAAAAAAAAAAAATCCATAAAAATACCTTTATCTGTATTTCCTATTTTCTTAATATATTTACACTTCCAAAAGTCCTCTTAGATGGGAAGCACTTGCCTATTGAAACATAAGGCACATATTAATAATAAAGAAATGTTTCTGCAGGTAGGCAATACTATGTAATGATCAATTTTCTCTTTAGAATATGAAGTATACTAAAATTTCCCCATTTAAATATATTACATATAACCCAAACCTTAGAAATGATATATCTCCTATATATCACTGTAGCTTTGAACCTTTAAAAAAGATAGCCTTAATTTTAAGTTCAAATATACCATGCAGAATATAAAGTAGTCTTTATTTTTTAACTTATTTTTGAACTTAAAAGTAGTCTTTATTATGCTTCAGACATTTCTCTAACCATTTTAGGCTTTTCCCCTATATTTTGTGAATTCATTTTAAAATCAGAATTTTACAAATATCCACATACAATGATACCAAATAAAATTTGAAAATTTTAAGCTTTATTAATAATTCTAAGGAGACCAGAACACAACTAAAAGCTGACACAGTTAACAAAAGCATTAGAAGTTAAACATCTTGAATAAAAATATAGAAAATATAATAATGAAAAAAGAAATCAGGGACTGAAGGAAGAAAAATTTCCAATTTTCTAGCAGCTACTATATTCTGCCCTCTGATTCTGCAGGTTTTATATCTCTGGATTTAAACAACCACGGGTCAAAAATACTTAACGAAAAACTCCAAAAGGTTGATCCCTAAAACAATACAGTATGACAAGTATTTATACAGCATTTGCATTGGATTAGGTGCTACAAACAATCTAGAGCTGACTTAAAGTGCACAGGAGGATGTGCATAGGTTAGATGTAAATACTATGCCCTGTTTTTATAATGAACTTGAGCACCCTCAGAATCTGGTATCCCAGAGGTGGAGGGTACAGAGGGACAACTGTACTTTCTTTAAGATTTGTATCACTTAAGTGCAAAGACATCATTAAACAAAACCTCAGGAAAAAAAACAAATATCAGGATCTTCCATTTGTTATCCCTCTCTCAATCTTCTGGATCCACTAGTTTACATACCGATTACAAATGTGATTTTAGGTAACTACAGTTGAAAGTCTATCAATTAAGTCATCAATAGTGCAAACAAGAAGATGAATGTCCGCTTTTTCTTTCATTCGGTGATCACCATGTTTCCGAAGGATGACATCTACATTTGTGCTGACTACTCGGTCAGCAACCTGTACGGACGTGTGCCAAGATACAACGTCATCCTCCATGCAATGGAGCAATCTTACAGGGCAGTTCACAGGAATAGGGCTATGTAATAAGCAGTGGTGTTTAGCTTCTTTAATGAAACTATGCTGAATGTTATAAACTCCTTCTTCATTGTATTTGGATGGCATGCTCCACACTCCTTTCAACTCTATTTCCTTTTGTACCTATTGAAAAAAAAATTAGGAAAATAAAAGTATTTATGAAATACTAACATATGCAATTAAACAATCTAAGAATTGAAATAGAAAAAATATGTACAATATTATATATATTTTAGGTATTTTAATGTCTTTTTTAATACCAGAAAGATTTGATTCAGTGAAATTGAGTGATTGAAATCCACTGATTTCAGTAAAATAGCTGTATGTTTGAAAGCTATACTTCTAAGTGTCTCAAATAATTTGAAATCAATAAAATTAAAAAAAAAGGATGAGTTTATATTATTTCCATGGGGTTTTCTGCATTAAAAAACATGTAAAGCAAATATTTAAAGCAAAAATGATACTCAGTTATCTTCAAAGTATTCCAGATTGTTCCTGAATTTGTAATTTCAATAATTAGAACTTAATTTCACTGGTTATTAAATGAGGTTAAAACTATGCTAATTATTGAGATATAATAATGGTTGCATTTTAACATCCCTACTCAAATAGCTGTTATCTGACACTGAATTTGAATATTGTTCATCTGAAGAAAAAACTTCACAGAATGTTTTATGTCCTGAATCCTAAAAAAAAAAAAAAAAATTCAGAAATAGAAAAAATAGTATTAACCAAAGAAAATGTGCAATATGCATAAGTTCTACACCAAGAAACAGTATCAAGTCAATGTGGTTGAAAAGCTTGGTTTCCAATCAGCTGTACATCATATCTGACGCCCTCTGGTGTCCAAAGTAGGAGACAATGATTAGAGCAGTTAAGAGGTACATTAAGTCCCTACACAATGAGAAATGCTGAGTTTTAAGAACATTATAAACTGATGAACCAAAAGATAGATATAGAGACAGTGGAGCAACGAGCGGCTGTCAAATTGTGGTGGGGAGGGAAGGGAGATCTGGGGGAGATAATAGATCAACCAAAGGACTTGTATACATGCATATAAGTACAACCAATGGACATAAAACTCTGGGGAGGGAGGGTATGTTTGGGAGGGAGGGGGGGGCAAAAAAAATCAATAAAATATATTTAAAAAAAAAAAAGAGAGAAATGCTGAGTTTTAACATCTCAAAGCTAGAAAAAGTACTAACACTCCCACTTTTGCTCCTTAGACACTGTTAGGGCTAGTTGGTTGTGGAGAAAATAAAATAGTGTCCCTACTCTTTCCTTACACATGTTTTTATGTTAACAAGGGCTCAACATGTTTCTGTAAACAACTGTTTTCTGGTTTGATTTAGAATTAACAAACATGTGCTCTGATTGGCAGAATACAGATCTTCTTAGTCACGCGGGAGTATTACTGTATACCATAATCCTCCCTTTGAGTGATGTGAATATACACACACAAATAGAAATGTATATACTTAGATCTTGCCATTTGTCAATAACAAACAAAAGAAACCCTGTTAAATCAACTCCTATCCAGTCTGCCACGTTCTTAAAATAATTTCTTACCATGAACAGCACTATATTAGCCACCTAGAGGATATAGTCAAAAGGCTCCAAGGTTTAGATGCAGAAAGATGCAATGGTAGTAAGATTTAGCAGCATGAGGAATACTGAACAATTATGTATGAAAAATAACCAAGAAAGTGAAAAACTCAGAAACAGGAAATATGTGCAAGGAAAACTGGCCTCACAATTTTAGCCCTGATAGGGAAATCACAAAGAACCTGACTGCAATCAATGCCATTTCTTAAGGAGACGGGAAGAACAGTATAAGCTAAGAATAAACTTAGAACAGATAATACACGGCACTGGGTTCAATGTAGAACTTGAGACAAAAACCAATGACATACTACCATTTAACACTACATACTAACCACTGAGTCACACCCAGCATGGAGGGACACATCTTGATTAAAAAAAAAAAATTATCTTTCCTTAGTATATTTTCCTTTTACTTAAAATTATAGATTACTAAGAGTTTCACCAATTTTTTAAAAAATGTTATTTTTTTCTTCTTTTTCTTTTTCCTTCTGCTCTTTCACTCTCTAAAGCAGGGTTCTCAAACTTCACCTGAAAGACTTGTTAAAACAGCTTATCAGGCAACATTCCCAGTTTCTGATTTAGTAGGTCTCGGGTGAAGCTCAAGAATATACTTTTTGATTTTTTTAATTATATTAAATTTAATGCAGTGACATTGGTTAATACATTATATAAGTTCCAAGTGTACAATTATGTGATAGACCACCTGTATGCTCATCCCCCAAAAGTCTAGTCTCATTCACCATGTTTGTCCCCCTTTACCCTTTTTGCCCCTCCCCCTTTCCTCTGGTAACTGCCATACTGTTTGTCTGTGTCTATGAGTTTATTTACTTTGTTGCTTTCTGTTTTATATTCCACATATGAGTGAAATTACATGGCACGTCTATGTTCACTGTTCACCACAGCACTATTCCCAGGAGCCAAGATACGGAAACAAACAAAATGTCCTTCAATAGATCAAGAAGATGTGGTATATTTTTGTAATGGAATTCTACTCAGCCATAAAAAAAAAATACTGCCATTTGCAATAACATCTGAATTTTGAGAGTATCATGTTAAGTGAAATAAGTCAAATGTAAAAGGACAAGAAACATAAGAATTTGCCTTTTTAACAAGTTCTCAGGTGCTGAGGCTGCTGGCCTAGGAACTATACTTTTTGAGCCACTGTTCTAGACCGTTTTCCTTTCTCTAATTTTCTGGGCCACAGGCCTGCCAGGATCTTAGTCCCACAGGTAAAATTTATATCCTTAGGAAAAGATGCCCAAGGAAAACTCAACACATTGTAATAAGTAAATAACATATACAAAAATAAATAACTATTACCCACTATTTCTTTACCCTTGCAGACAACTGAAGTGCTTAAATATATGTCCAATAATAAAATATAATAAACTAATTACCTTCCCAGTTATTTTAGAAAGCTCATTCTACCACATTTTGCTGAGGAAGATGCTAATAATGAAAAAGTATTCTCTTTTAAGATGAGAAGTAGGAGTAAAAAAAGAATGTCAACTAAATATCTAAGCCAGAACTCGCAATCTCATCTCCGGTGAGCTAATTCTTGGAGAGCTCTGCTGAGGCTGCTTTCAGGCTAAAAAAAATATGTCATAATTAGTCAAGTTTAATGTGGTCAGAAGAATAGGTACTATTTCTCCCAGGCCAGAAAGTAAGAGGACAAGAAGTGATCATGGTGTATGATCCAAATAAGTAAATGCAATTAATAAAGAAAATGTTGCTTAAAAAAAATTTAAAGTGTTATTTCATTAATATGGCTCAAACATTTGCCAGAATGAGTTGCAGGGACTGAAAAAAAGGAAACCTTAAACAAGAGACAAAATAGTAAAGAAAGCAAAGAGATGTTATTTTAAAAAGCAGCTAAGTGAATTTAAAAACCAAGGAAATTAAAAAATCTGATGAACAATATTAACTGGTGAATATAATAGAATCAGAGGTATGGAAGAGGAGTAAATTGACGATTCTCGGCAAAAAGGAAAGAGACTGAACAAAAATTGTGCATCTATGGATGAGAACAATGGGGGGGTGGGGAAAGGGCCGAGGGAGGGTGGGAACCTGGTAGAGGGGAGCAATGGAGGGGGGAAAAAAAGAGGAACATTTGTAATAATATGAACAATAAAGATTTATTTTAAAAATAATAATAAAAAATAATTGAATAAAAATAAAAATAAATAAATAAATAAAAAAGTAGCTAAGAAAAAAGATGGCCCAATGTAGTCAATCAAAGGAATGGTGACACATAAAACAAATATTTAAAGAAAGAGGGAGCAGAAGGATGACAGGAGGCATGCCTGTGACTTACCTCAACAGGAAGCTGATTAAACTTTGTCACTAGGACATCTACAGCTGCAGCTACACCAACAAGCGCCACAACTTTTTGTGGCCGTGCAATTGCAGCATGAAACATAAGCCATCCTCCAAGGCTAGATCCAACTAGTATCTAAAAATAAAAATATGTGTAGTTTTAAAGAGCAATTTATTTTTCTTTTCTATAAAGGTAGTAATTTAATAGAATGTATTTATATCCTTTGGCTCTCAGACTTTTAATATTTGACACAAGGTAGAATTAAAATTATGATTACTTTTTGTTAAAAAAGTATTTGGTCTACAATAGAGAATTATGAATATAGGTAAAATAAGTAAAATGGTACTTACATTTTATGAGGAAGTAAAAATGAACAATTTTAAATCAAATATCAAAATTGATTGTTAAAGTTTAAATAAATTTTGACATCAAAGAAACAGCTCGAATATCATGAGGGTATCATCAATAATGATATCACATTTAACAAAAATAGTCACCTGTGGTCCTTCAGCTAAGTCATCAATTATAGAAAGAACATCTTTTCTCCATTTTCCCAATGTACACTCTTCAAAGTTACCTTCTGATTTTCCAATTCCTGAGTAATCAAACCTGAAAAAAGGAAAATACATATCTATATCCAGATATCTATCTATTTGCTTCTCTGATTTTTAAAAAATACAGCACATTCATCATTATACAGTGCCTAAAATGTATTAAATCCTATCGGCTTACCCGTCAAATAGCCCCAACAGCCACTCACTTTCTCATCTCCACTGCTGGCAGCTGGGTGACATTACTATCCTCTCTTGATTGGTCTAAAAGTCTCCCTTTCCAATTTTCACCCTCATAGTTTATTCCCCACATTGTAGCCAGTGATCTTTTTAAAACAAAAATCATGGTCTAGTACAAACCTGCCAAAGGCTTTCTATAATCCCATATAATAAAAGGCTAATTGCAAATTGTTCCCTTGGGAGTTTGACTGCTCGCTATGACGTGCGCTGACCACCAGGGGCAGCGCAGAATGAAGGAAGGCCCTGGCTGGCAGCTGGCAGCAGGGGGAAGGCCCCATGGGTCCTGATTACCAGCCAGGTCTAGGGACCCTATCCGTTCATGGGTAGAGTCCTTAGGCCTGGCAGGCAATTAGGGCACATCAGGTTCCCCTCCTCCCAGCCTCCCCTCCTACTCCTTCCCTCAGCGCTCTGCCGCTGGTCACCAGCCATACTCCATGCCACCCCCTGGTGGTAGGCGCATGTCATAGTAAGCGATCGATCTGGTCTCTGGGGCAAACTTTAGAGGGGTCAATTGGCATATTATCCTTTTATTATATAGGCTAGCAAACATTTCTACTTGATATTATACATGACATTTGATTATTTTTGGTGTGCTCTGTATCCCACACTAGAATGGAAGCTCCATGAGCACTGGCTTTGTTTTGTTCACCACTGCTTTCCTAGTGGCTCGGTCAGTGCCTTGCACATGTTAAGTGCTTAATATATACTTACTAAATTATTAGTGGAAGGGAAAGAGGAGATCAGAATCAAATTAATCACCAGCCCATCCAATTAGTTTCTTCTCCTTCCAACTTCTTAGTTCTCCTGGCTCAAAGTCTGCCTGATCTGTGAATTTCACTTCTCCTCAAGGTCTCAATTCAATAAATCATGAAGTATCATACCGCTCCTGTAGATTACCATAAACCTTAGTTATATTGAACTACCCACAATTCTAAGCCCATTCATAACTTTGAGTTTTTGTACGTTTCCTACTGCCTAGAAGACCCTCCTTTCCTCCCAAATTCCTAGCTGTATCATCTCCTTTGAGGAACTTTCTTTGTAACATATGCCCTGTTTAGAACCAGTCAGTCACTGTCTTATGTATATACTCAATTAACACTTTTCATACTGTGTGTTGTAATCAGGTTTTGAATATGTCTCTCTCTGACTAGAATGCCAAGTCTTCAAGGGCATAATGTCTTATTCAAAACTGCCTGCCCTGTACCATCCTCACTCACTTGAAATCTCCCCCCCACCCACCCCCACATTCTTTCCATTCTCTGCAATTTGGTAAAACCAATATTAGCTCTTTGTCATGTAAAATCACCATATCACACTAACCTCCTAACTGTGCTCTATGACTATTCTCTTTTTGGATGGATCCCCTTTAAAATTGACAGGATTTTCCTAAGATTATATTGGTATGACATTTATTTCAATGGCTCCTTATGACATACAACATAGCTTGTATTTTTAGACCATTATATTCTGGTCACCCCAGATTGACTTTTAGCATTTCATCAAAGGAAACTACTACTTTGGCCAAATTGATCAATTTGTTGCTCCTAAAATAAGCTGTTTTATGATTCATACTATAATATTTCCTTATACTGAAATACCTTTTCCCATCACCTTCATTACTAATCTCCTCTCTCAGAACTTGTACAAATGAACCTTTTTTTGCTGGAAAGACTTTGCAAGGAAATTGAAAAAAAATCTCTAGCTAATGAAATTTCTTCAGAATTCATTTTTATCTATCACAATCAAATCCTGCTTTATAAGACAGTTTGTGTGCATATAAATGTCTTATCATTCCCCTGAGATTCTAAGATCTTAGATGAAAAGTATCATGATCTTAATCTTTGTCTTTACATTCTCCATAATGACTAGGAGTGCATGTAAACCTCACAGTGAGTATCATAATACATTCTAAATGAATAGAAATGGAAGGTAAAAGTAAAAAAAAAATCATTTTATTCAAATTTAAGGTTTTATGTTTTTCTGATTCTTAAAATCTTATTAAAACTAATAAACCCTAATATGTTTAGTATACATGTGAGAGTATATATGTAATACATAATATATATATTTATTTTCTTATAGATAAGGAAATGATGGAGAAAAAAGAAATTAAAATTTTCTTTAGGTGACTAGTGAACTAACCCTCGGGAAATTGGGCAACAAGGCAGCTGCTGAAGTCTAAATCACAATTATTATTTCCTTTCAGACCAGGATATGTAGGAGACAGGGAAAAGAGTAGAGAAAGGCACCAATTAGCCCTCCTTTTCTCCTTGACAGGCAATTGGATATTTTTCCTTGCTACATTTTTACACTTTCCTTCCAAATATATGGTAAAGATGCAGAATACATATAAAGGAAATTATAACCATTTAGTGAGACTAATAGGTTATAAGAATCCTAACCAAAAGTTAAAGATAATTGAAACATATTCAGCAGTTTTAGGACTTATAAACACAGGAACAAAAGACTGTCCTAGCTCAGACAGTATGGCTCAATTGGTTGAGCAATGCCCTCATGCACCAAGAGGTTGTTGGTTCTATTCCCAGTCAGGGCACATGTCCTGGTTTTGATTCCCAGTGTGGGGCCTGCAGGAGGCAGCCAATCAATTGATACCTCTCTCTCTCTCTTCCCTTCTCCTCCTCCCTCTTCCCCCTCTACAAACACAATAAAAATATATTAAAAAAAAAAAAAAAAAAAAAAAGTCTGTCCTAGTAGCCTCAATACTCTAGGACATATTCTCAAATCTAGAATTAAATATTCTATTAGAATTATGCTAGAATATCAGCCCTAAAACAACATGTAGTCCTTAGCTCTGACTCAATTTTATTTTAGACATTGTGACAGGACATTAAGAATACATTTTCATATAGACTGATGTACTACTTGTTGTATAATACATAAAACTAACTAACCATTTCCTCAATCAAGATCTAAATTTTACAGCCAATAATCACAATAAAAGTAAACTGAGAGAGTGAAGTATAAACAGAAGATAAAATCCCTTATAACAAGCTAAATGTAATCAATAGGTAATGGTGATTAGATTGTAATGGAGTTTTGATAAAACAAGTAACAGACTTGATCAAATTAAAAATTTGAAGTGAAAGGCTATTCTTTTTAAGGGTTTATAAAGATACTAGAGGCTCAGTGCACCAATTTGTACACCAGTGGGATCCCTCTGTCTGGCCTGCAGGATTGGGTTGAAACCGGTTCTCTGACATCCCCTGAGGAGTCCTGGATTTTGAGAAGGTGCAGGCCAGGCCAAGAGACCCCACCAGTGCACGATTTTTCTGGAGAGAGACAAGGGAGGTTGGCCAGCTGAGGAGAGATCATGAGGGCTCCAGGGCATGTCTAGCCCATCTCACTCAGTCCCAATCAGCTGAACCCCAGCAGAAAGCTAACCTACCAGTTTGAGTGCCTGTACCCTGGTGGTGAGTGCATGTCATAGCAGCTGGTCAGTCGACTGCTCCCTAATGGTCAGTGCATGTCATAGTGAGCAATTGAGTGGCTTTGGCATATCATTAGCATATTAAGCTTCGATTGGTTGAAAGGATGATTGGACAACTGGACACTTAGCATATTAGGTTTTTATTACATAGGATACATAGACTGCATCTTAACACCATACCACTTAATATATTGTCTACAAACATCTTATTTTATTATCATTACTTAATATACCTTTAAATGTATTTTACATGTATGCAAAAATACAGAAAACCTACATATGTCTTATAGGGAAATAGAAACGGGATAGCTTTCCCAGCCTCAAATTAAATTTAAGAGCTGGTAAAAAGGAGATTTCTTGATTCAAAATATATTAAGGACAAAGAGGAAGAATGATAATATTTCTGCTATCATGATATTTTGCTGAGGCTAGTCCCTTTCCTAGATAGCTCTTCCTTCTTATCCCAAACTTAACTATACTTTAGTATTCCTTTATAAAGACTTTTCTACCCACTTCAATCCCATTTTCTTTCTCTTACTTGATACAATAAAGGGTACTGCTCTTTTGACACTATCACTTTCTGATTTTTTTTTTTTTTTGGCCAAATTAATCATCTGTATTTCCTCCTGTTTCCCAACTTTATGAAAGGTCCTTTAAGGGTAATGACCATCCTATATAATAAAACCCTAATATGCTATGTCCAGTCATCCATTCAACCAGTCAAAGCATAATATGCTAATAATATACTAAGGGCACTCAACTGCTCACTATGACGTGCACTGACCACCAGAAGGCAGTCAACCAGTTGACCAGTCACTATGAGGTGCACTGACAACTAAGGGCAGATGCTCCAACCAGTACGTTAGCTTGCTGCTGGGGTCTGGCTGATCGGGACTGAGCGAGACAAGCCGGACACACCCTCCCCATCTGCCCAACCTCTCGTGTCCCTCCCCAGCCTTGATCGTGCACTGTTGGGGTCCCTTGGCTTGGCCTGCACCCCCTCACAATCTGGGACACCTCAGGGAATGTCAGAGAGCCGGTTTCAGCCCGATACCATAGCCAAGCCGAGGGATCCCACTGGTTCATGAATTTGTGCACCAGGTCTCTAGAGTTTTATATTTTCACATCACCTAATACAGTGCTAGAAAGTCTACTTGCAAAAGATATGCCAGTCTTCAGAACAACAGTTAAATCAACGGATTTTTTTTTAAGAGTTCTGAGAATGAATATGATACAATTCAGTTAATCTGATAAAAGAACTAAGACTAGCCGAAACCAGTTTGGCTCAGTGGATAGAGCATGGGTCTGCGGACTATTCTCCCAGGTTCAATTCTGGTCAAGAGCATGTACATTGGTTGCAGGCACATTCCCGATAGGGGTGTGCAGGAGGCAGCTGGTTAATGTTTCTTTCATTGATGTTTCTAGTTCTCTATCTTTCTTCCTTCCTCTCTGTGGAAATCAATAAAATATATTTTAAAAAAAGAACTAAGACTAAATGCATTTAATTGATATAATTTCTACTATTAAACAGATAAAGTCTAAAAGTTTTTAATTTTTTTTTTTTTACTTATTACTTTATTCCTAAAAGCTGTATTTTCTAGATCTACTGAGCAAATGTTAGAGAACTACCTTTTTTTCTAGGCTTTTCTGAAAATAATTCAGAAATTACCTTAACCAAATCTCATTTTTTTATGATGAAAATAGGCCATGTTTATAAACTTATTTATCTGTCATTGTTATTGCTAGAATTGATTCTACGACCCATTTTTCTTGAATTCCAGGCCAGTGCTCTTTCTATTAAACCATACTATCTCTTCTGGCAAATTAGGCACTAAATAAATAATTGTTACAGGTAAACAAACCTAACAACAGCAACACAAACATGTTATTTTACTAAAATAATTATCAACATAAAATATTACAAATTGTGAAATCAAGTTTTAGTTAAACACCATCTATCCCTATTTATGCTTATACATATTGAAATTACAGCAGTGAGGAGAAAGAAAACTTAGAGGAAATGTGAATAATACAATACCAATTTTATAATTCAGGAGGCCCTCCAATGTTTTATTCAAGGCTATTCTAAAATAATGTTGATGAGGTGTCATAGCCATTTAACTCTTATTTATATCCATTAGTCTATGGTAAAACTGGCTTGTTTATATGTCATTTCACTTAAAGTTGCAGAACTTATCAATGACATTAACTAATGACTTACTGTACTTTAAAATGCATATATATTATTTTTAAATACATATTTTTAAAAAAGTAAGGTAATAAATAGTGGTAAGTAAAAGCCCTTAAGCCCCAAATGGAAAACTACAATATAATCACAATAAAGCCAACAATAGTATATTGGTTTGTTGTCATATTAGGTTATTGTATCTAAAGAGCTTAGTTATCATTAGTTTCCTTTCCTGCCAGCAGTCAATGTGGCACAAAAACTTTTTAAAAAGGTCTTATAAAAGGTTGCATTTACAAGCACCCTAAGTCACAAGAAAGTTTACACCCATTGAAATAAATTAACATATAAAAATGCTGGCACTTGCTTCAATTGGTTAGAGCAGAAGTAATTCTCCACTGCCATGCTAAATGGTAGTAATATTTTCTCTGAAATGTGTTGTTCCTACCTTATATAGGCGTGACCTAGAGATTTGCAAAACTCCTCAATCGCCAATGCTTTTGTACCCATCATATTAGAAATAAAGCCAGGGAGGAAGATAATTCCTGGACTTTTGCCTTTTAGTCTCTTATAAGCCAGTTTTGGAAGGTCTGGTCGACTAAGGAAAGAGACTGATGACTTTCGTCTGCAAGCTAAACAAAGTACACAAAACATAAACCATAGTTTGCAAATACAGTTTTTGGAAAACCAAATATATATATATATATATATTTTCCCCCCTCAATCTTAACTTTCTTAATTTGTCAAACTGATGTCAAATACTATTTCCACTTAATAAAAAACACAAAAAAATTGACGTACTCTATGAATCTGTGCATATGACAAGTCTGTGCATATCTTCATTTCAAAATCAGTACCTTCTTTGAGCAAGGTCCAATCTTCCTCTCCTTTACTGCGGCTAACAAAAACTTCTCAGTCTCTTCTACGGGAGCTGATAAAGTTTACATCACTCTGAATTTAAGAAGCTTATTTAAAAAAATTAGAGTGGAGACCTTATTTTTGCATGTAAGCTTGTTTCAAAGTTTCAATGTATAGTGAAGTATTCCAAATTTAAAACTTTCAGTGAAAAACAGGGCTAGCAGGAGCCAGTTACATTGGTTGGCAGATTGTATAAGCAGAAACTTATACAATTCCCATTTCCCATTTTCCCTGGTTCACCACTCAAAAAAAAAAATCCTTCCTCTCCTCTTACTATCACTTCCCAACACAAGAATGTCTCCGTGAGACAATCAGTTATTTAACGTTGGTAAGTTTTAAGTGGACAGGTTTACATTATATCCATAAAGGATGTTTGTACAATAAGAATTAGTTCAAAGCCTGGTACTGAAGTGCTCAATAGATGAACTGAAACTTCTTTAATGAAATTTACCTTGTTAATGAAATGACATACTACCCTAGAGAAACATATAACACGTCTTTTGATTGTGTACACTTAAATGCACGTTAAACTGATTATAAACATTTACAATTTTTAACTCAAAACAAAGAATATCTGCAATGACAATTCCCATTCCAAACAATCATGCATCTAAGTGCCCAAGGTGAGGACGGACCCAAACCACAAGTAAAAAGGCAAACTTTAGAAAGACAGACTAGACTATATGTAGATGGCCCCCAAAATTGTATATACACTTTGAGTAATTACTAATTCCAATGGGTTAGATCTGAAAAGAAACAAACATCAATGGGGCTCAGCTGTTCAGTGTATAGACATGTTTGGAGGAGACACCCTCTACACGGGAGGGTGGGGCTGGAATAGGCAGAGGGAGGAACCAAGCACAAGATGAAAGAAAATATTAAAGTGCTCTGACTTTTTGGTTTAAAATTACAGTGTCCTTTATCAAGGAATGGTTACGGTTTTCACTGAGCGGGAGCATCGAGAAGACAAAACCAGAACTAAGGCTCGATCTGTATATACACTTTCACAAGGAGACTGTTCCCACTGTAAATCCCCTCAAGTCCAAGGAGGGCGGCTCTCTGACGATCTCACAACCCGCAGAGAAAAGAGAAAACAATAAAAATAAACTAACAAGCATCGCATTAAATGCACGTGAATGTTCCCTTCGGCGCCGAGCAGGGAAGGCAGGCAGAGCGGGATCCTTCAGGAGCGCAAACCGCCAGCAGGGGCAGGGCGGTCCGAGGCACCCCGGGCCGCCGCGCCGCCCTCCGCAGCGCCTCCGCCGGGACTGGGGTACCCATGGGACCGGAGCATTTTTGAATGGGGCGCCAAAAACGCCCACAAAGGAACGGATGGAACCGGGGTGGTGTTCGAAAGAACGCTCTCCATTCCCGTCTTTCGGGCACTGACCTGGGAGCCACCGAGGCGCCTTCTCGGGCTTCTGAGCGAGTAACGTGCAGAGGCCACGGTGGAAACCGCAAGAGACGGCCGTCCAGCCCCACCTCCGACAAGCAACCTTGGCCGCCGCGGCCGCCATGCCCACGGCAGCCATCTTCCCAGCGGCCCCCGCGCGCCCCATGCAGACTTACGGAGACGCCGCCGGGCGCAGAGGAAGCGAGACTGCGCATGCGCCACGGCTGGAAGACGGGGATTGGCGGAAGAGCGCCCGGAAGACGCGCAGCACAGGGAGCGCGCATGCGCAAAGCGAAGTCACTCTAGCCTGCTTTCGCTTTGGGGCTGTGAGCTCGCCTCTGGGGACTGTCCGGAGCCTCCTTAGAGGGCAGGTAGCCATTGCAGGGCTGGAAGCAGAGAGGAACTTCTTCGTTTGGAAACCCTCTGTCTCATCGACCTGAGGCCTCAAAGCTAAGCTTGATGCATTCATTAAAGTCGCTCTCACCCTCGAGGTTTTGGTTGTTTTGTGTGTGTTTTTTTGCATTTTTATTTTTTATCCATCACCATTTACCCTCCCTAAATCTCCTCCACCTCCAACCCCCTGACAGTTTTAACCTGTACTGGAAAGGCTTCCACGATATGACCTTAAACCTACTTGTTTGAGGAGTAGAACAGAACATTCATGGCTCCTCAGCCCCTTCTAAATTTGGTTTTGTTCTTGCTCTTCCTATGCCTGACCACTGAGTCATTCTGACCCTTGCCTCACGTTATATGCAAAAATAAATCTCGGTAGATTAAAAAACCAACAAACACAACTCTCTATGTCTTCCTCTCTAAAATCAATAAAAACAGGTTTTCAGATGAGGATTTAAAAAAATCTCAACAGAAGAAATAAGTACTTTTAGGAGAATATTTTATAGTCCGGGGATAGAAAGGACTTAATTTTTTTTATTATTTATTTATTTTTTATTTTTTTATTTTTTTTGCCCCTCTCCCTCCCTCCTAAACACCCCCTCCCTCCCCAGAGTTTTATGTCCATTGGTTGTACTTATATGCATGTATACAAGTCCTTCGGTTGATCCATTATCTCCCCCAGATCTCCCTCCCCTCCCCACTGTAATTTGACAGTCTGCTTGTTGCTTTACTGTCTCTATATCTATCTTTTGGTTCATCAGTTTATAATGTTCTTTATTATCCATAAATGAGTGAGGTCATGTGGTGTTTTTCTTTCATTGATTGGCTTATTTCACTCAGCATGATGTTCTCCAATTCCATCCAGGTTGCTGCAAATGATGAGAATTCCTTCTTTTTTATGGCAGCATAGTATTCCATTGTGTAGATGTACCATGGTTTTTGGATCCAATCATCTGCTGACGGGCACCTAGGCTGTTTCCAGATTCTGGCTATTGTAGATTGTGCTGCTATGAACATAGGGGTGCAAATATCCTTTCTTATTGGTGTTTCTACTTTCTTGGGATATATTCCTAGGAGTGGGATTACTGGGTCAAATGGGAGTTCCATTTTCAGTTTTTTGAGGAAACTCCACACTGTTCTCCACAGTGGTTGCACCAGTCTGTATTCCCACCAGCAGTGCACAAGGGTAGAAAGGACTTAATCTTAAAACTTGAAATTCCCAAATCATAAAGAATAAAAATGTTTGACTATATACAGATTTAAACCTTTTAATGTATTTTTATTGATTTCAGAGATGGAAAGAGGAGAAAGACATAAAAATATCAATGATGAGAGAGGATCATTGATCAGTTGCCTCCTACACCCTCTTCCCCCACTTCCACTGGGGATAGAGCCCACAACCCCTGGCATGTGCCCTTGACTGGAATCAAACCCAGGACCTCCTGCTTCATAGGTCGGGGTTCAACCATTGAACCATGTCAGCCAGGCCTAAACGTTTTGAATGGTAAAAGGCACCTCTAGTCAAATAAGAGTCTAGAAAAATTCATTTTACAGTACAATAGAACAGTAATACTTCTATTTAATCTGCTTCTAGAAATGATAAAAAATACAATCCTAATAAAATTGGTCAATGGCTATGAATAGGCAGCTCATATGTGCAACCATGATGTTCAACCTAGCTATTTGAAAATGTGAATTAAAAAAATAACATGCTGCCAAAACTGGTTTGGCTCAGTGGATAGAGCGTCGGCCTTCGGACTGAAAGGTCCAGGGTTTGATTCCGGTCAAGGGCATGTACCTTGGTTGCAGGCACATCCCCAGTAAGGGGTATGCAAGAGGCAGCTGATCGATGACTCTCTCTCATTGATGTTTCTAACTCTCCATCCCTCTCTCTTCCTCTCTGTAAGAAATCAATAAAATATATTTTTAAAAAGTAAAAAATAACATGCCATCTTTCCCCACCAATCAGATTGGCAAAAATTAAAAACAGCAATTATTGTCAAGAATCCTGGGAAACTGGCACAAATGTATGATTGGTGGGAATGTGAATTGCTAAACTCTTTTGCCAACTAATATGACCACATCTTTATAATTTAAAATATGTATCATTTTCAACACCCCTGATCCAGTGGTCCCATTTTGTGACTATCCTATAGAAAACAATATTAACACATGAAGATTCCTATTATTACTACAGCACCAGTTTTTTTTTTGTTGTTGTTGTTGGTTTTTTTTAATATATTTAATTGATTTTGTACAGAGAGGAAGGGAGAGAGATAGTTAGAAACATCGATGAGAGAGAGTCATCGATCAGCCGCCTCTTGCACACTCCCCACTGGGGATATGCCCGCAACCAAGGTACATGCCCCTGACCGGAATCGAACCCGGGATCCTTCAGTCCCCAAGCCGACGCTCTATCCATTGAGCCAAACCGGTCTCGGCATGTTTTGTTTTGTTTTGTTTTGTTTTGTTTTTGTGGAAGGTGTGTGTTTAATCCTCACCCGAATATATTTTTCCATTGATTTTTTTTTTTTTTAGAGAGAGAGTGGAAGAGAGAGGGAAATAAATACTGAGAGAAACACATTGATTGGTTGCCTCTAGCAGAAGCGCTGACCAGGGTCTGGCTGGGGAAGAGCCTGCAACTGAGGTACATGCTCTTGACCAGAATCGAAACCGGGACCCTTCAGTCAACGGGCCAACACTCTATCCACTGAGCCAAACTGGCTAGGGCAACTACAACATCAGTTTTAGAAACAAACAAGAAAAAACCCTGAATGGACAAATAATAGAAAGTGGTTAAATAAACTGTTTTACAAGGATTTCTGGATTCCAGCTCTGATACTTTTTAATGTAATTCTGGAAGGTCTCAAGCATTAACAAATATCTTGTTTTTCACAGTCCAGGCCTTGAGATACGGCCTCATGGCCCCTTCCCAGCACGTAGGCCTTCTTTCAAGGGCAGAGCAGGACTGACTCCGTTTTATACTGAGTAACTGTCTTGTATAACTATGTCTCTGACATAACCCCTTTCCCGGCCACAAAATGTATCAGTTATCCAACCCACCCTTAAAGCAGCCAATAGAAATATAGAGGGAAGTAACCCAGCGTAACTGGACCCTGGCCCTCACCCCACCCATCAGAACCAGCCAACTCAGTGGTCAGAGCATCACCTCACCACCCAACCCTAAAACCTATAAAAAGACCACACTTTCAGAGCTCAGGGCTCCTTGCATTCTGTCGTTGCATCTGCAGAGGCAGGGAGACCAGACTTGAGTTTGAATAAAGGCTCTTATTTTTTGCATCGGACTCGGCTCCCTGGTGGTCCTTGGGGATCTTCAAATCTGGGCATAAAGGCATAACAATACCAGGGCTTCCACTTGGGTTGCTGGCCTGCAAACCACCACAGGCCCCTCGCCCAGGCTGCCCCACGCCCCAAGGGAACCCCCATCCTGATCCGGGACACCCTTCAGAGAAAACCAGCTGGCCCCCACCCATGCACTAGGCCTCTATCCTATCTAATAAAATAGTAATATGCAAATTGATCATCACTCCAACACACAAGATGGCTGCCCCCATGTGGTCAAAGATCCTACCCCAATGTGGACACAGATGGCCACCATAAGATAGCCAGCAGGGGAGGGCAGTTGGGAGGGACTAAGTCTGCAAGGGAGGGCAGATGGAGGCAATCAACCCTGCAGTGGAGGGCAGTTAGGGGTGACCAGGCTGGCAGAGGAGGGAAGTTGGGGGCAAACAGGTGGGTAGGGGAGCAGTTAGAAATCAATCAGGCTGGCAGGGGAGTGGTCAGGGGGTGACCAGGCTGGCAGGCAGAAGCAATTAGGGGAAATCAGGAAGGCAGGCAGGCGAGCAGTTGGGAGCCACAGTCCTGGATTGTGAGAGTGATATCCGACTGCCCGTTTAGACCCGATCCCAGTGGATAAACGGGCAGTCGGATATCCCTCAAGGTTGTCCCAGATTGGAGAGGGTGCAGGCTGGGCTGAGGGACCCCACCATCACCCCATGCACAAATTTTGTGCATTGGGCCTCTAGTCCTATATAATAAAAGCCTAGTATGCTAAGTTGTTGTTCACTTGGCCGTTCAACCAATCACTGTGTAATATGCTAATGATATGCTAAGGCTGCTCAACTACTCTCTATGACGTGCACTGACCACCAGGGGGCAGTCAACTGGTTAACCAGTCACTATGACATGCACTGACCAGCAGTGGGCAGATGCTCCAACTGGTAAGTTACCTTGCTGCTAGAGTCTGGCTGATTGGGACTGAGCAACATGAGCCAGACATGCCCAGAGCCCTCCTGTGGTCCCTCCCTGGCTTGCCAACCTCCCACATCCCTCTCCAGCCCGATCGTGTTCCTGAGCCTGGCCTGTGTCCTCTTACAATCTGGGACCCCTTGGGAAATGTCAGAGAGCCAGTTTCAGCCTGACAGCAGAACAACCAGTCACTATAACATGCAGTGACCACCAGGGGGCTGATGCTCAATGCAGGAGCTGCCACAGGGAGAGGGCCCCTCAGCCAGAAGCCAGGCTCATGGCTGGCGAGTGCAGCAGCGGTGGTGGAGATAGGGAGTGGGCCTAAACCATCAGTAGGACATTCCCCAAGGGCACCTGGCCTGTGAGTGGGCACAGGCTGGCTGAGGGAACCCCCTCCTCCCCTAGTGCATGAATTTCATGCACCAGGCCTCTAGTTGAAGTAGAAGTAAACACAGTCCTTATAATCCCAAGTACTAAATGCATCTGTAAAAAAAGATAGTAAGATGTCAGTTTTCAGGAGTACCTCATTTTGTTAACAACAGGAATGCGGCCAAAGATACTTCTAATTACTTGTTTTTATACCACAAATCATATTGTTAGCACACAGCATCCTTTATCTAGACAGACTTTGGCTGATTAATCCACCTGCCACACTTGTCATGTTACCAATAGGTAACTTCCTAATAAGAGATGAGTTTATCTTCAGATTGAAATCTGGTCAACATTTTAATCCAAACTCAACACATTTTAACACGCATTTTTAAAAGGTTTACTACATCATGCAAGATACAAAGTTGATTAGAATATCTTTACAATCCTGTGCAGAAAGTACAGTACAAAAAAGTTGTTTCTTTACATTAAACCAAGAAAATTTTAGCAATTATATTCACTTTTTTAGATCATTACAAGATTAAGGGTGATCTCTGAAAAAACAACACCCAGATAATAAAAATGTCTCCTGCAATCGTGATTTTGTCCTCTATTGTTCAAGTAAAATCATGTCATCCAGTTGCAAAATTTTATTATTGGAAATATGTATACATACACACAAAGCACACTGCAAGTGTAAAAAATTGTACCCAGTCAGGCCTGACAAACATTTCATAGACACTTCTAATCTAATCATCTCACCTTCACTAGTAAGTAGTGTCATTATTTTCTACTTCTATTCATTTGCCAAGTTTTCATACTTACAAACACACAACATAACAAGCCATGATAAGTGGCTTTTAAAAAACTGTTGTGAAAGAGACTTGCCTGAAGTCATTTAATTCAACCAAAAATTAACTTAACTCTAAGAAACAACAACTTATTTAAAGAGATACATAATAAAATAGTACATTTCAGAGAACATGATTGAACTTCATTGGATATTTTATAAAACTACAGCATTCTGTAAATAAGCATTTTCATTGGTCTGTTCTTTGGTTAAAAAAAAAAAAAACAACACAAAACCACAACTCTGATTTCATAGCTATGTCCTGTGAGGCTGTAACTAACAGGTGTGCTCCATAACAAAGGAAAATCGTGACAATCTAAGGAATTGGCCACTGGTTACTTGTATTTTCAACACTGGGAATGGAGAAATCTTCAGGAAAACAAGCTCCTAATATTTAATAATCTCTTTCTTTTAATTGCGCAATGTGACAAAATATCTGTCCAAGACTATTTCTTTTTAAAATACACAGCTTTCTGTTCTTTCTTATTTTATAAAGAAATGGTTTGATATATATATATATATATATATATATATATATATATATATAATTGTTATATATATATATAGTAGCTTATGCTGGTGGCAACCCTTCAAAGTCATACTTAATGGCATCAAAGCATCATTTTAAAGTGTAGAATAACACCAAATGCAGTTCATCACTTGAAACTACTACTATTAAACAGAGGTCATGTCAAGTCTTTGGTTTGGTGCAATACTTAAAAATTAGGGCAAAAGTTCTTCCTGTAATATATTCTTCTTCAAAGCTCTCTATGCTCATATTTCTAATAACTTTCAGCAAAATGCTCCTATTTTTAAAAAGCCAGTTAATACCAATAATGTCAATACCAATGATTTGGGTGCTAAAGTAATTACATATTTCCAAGTATGTACATTTTGTAAACTGCTTAGTTCACCAAAATCAGCCATTGCTAAAAAATAGCTTATTAGAAATGCTCCTCTAAGTGATGCTATTTATGAAAATAGTGTTTTCTTTCTCATAGGTACTGGATTCTTTTGCTATTTGAGGTCAAGCTTTGAATTAAAATCCATTCTTTCTCATTTACAAATGGCTTCCTCTTCATATGAAAGGAGATCTGAGTATGTAGGGTTAAAGGGCTGGGCCTTTTGGGTCTTTCCATCTGGGATACCATATGGCTTCATTCTTGTAAGAGATTATTGCAGTCTGCCCTGACATGGACCATGGCTCCAGTTCACTACAACATGAAGTGAGTGTAGCCTTCTGCTCCAGTAACTATGACATCCATCCAGATCCGCATGGCTTCCGGTGATGGGGCCACCATGTAGTAGATTCTGTCATGTGTCTTGACACTGAAGGTGAGTAATGGGTTAGGACTCTAAAAACCAAAAAAGGAAACAAAAATGTAACACACGTATCTTGAAACTTTAACATGAAATGACACCAGGGCTGCTGCTTCTTTAAAAGTTCCAATTTATGCAAATCTACATAGGCATTACTTTTGCTCTGGTATAACCTATATCCCAGTCCCAACATCTTTCTCAAGACTGACTATCTTTCTAACCTTTCTGCACAAGAAATTTCAGGAGCTCACCAACCCTCTTAGTAGTTCCCCTGTAAAGCTCTAGATGTACCTCGCCGATGGTGGGTGCTCAACAAACAATGGCTGTTAGTCTCAGTCCTACTCGGTTCCTTCCTCATAAGCAGGTAGTAGGGTCTTAGCACCCTTGCAAAGAGTCACTTGGCAGGGTGTCTCCAAACAATATGTCCAGAACATTTTCTCACTGTGCCACGATGTGTTCCCCCACTTCCCCCAACAAAAAGATCAGCTGTACTAATTACGTCTATGGTTATTTTTCTATAGCATTCTGATCATATCTACCTGTTATGTCAGAACAATAAATCTAAATTGCTTCAAATAAACACACACACACACACACACACACACATACACACACACACACACACACACACACACACACACACACACACACATAGTTTGCCAAGTTAGTTATGCATTAAAATGGTAGAAACCTGAAAAATCAATGTTTACCTTATTAGCATTCTTGAGGTGATCATAGTATACTTCTTCAATGGCTTGAAAGTATATTACTCCTTTTAATTTCGTTTCATGCTTGTCTGCAATAATAGATGAGTGTTAAATACGTTATTACCACCAATGGGCAGGAAAAATAATTCATTGCAGTCACCATTAAAATACTTATCTAATATTAAAATTATCTACATTTAATTCAGTATTTTCGGTTAGTGCATTAGCCCTGTTCTATATTGAAAAAAGATGAAATTATGAGCTCAAACTGAAGGGATTAAGTGACTTTGCCCAAAGTTTTTCAGCAAAATAGCAGTCAAAAAATAATCCAGGACTTCTGACTGTCAGATTAACACACAAAAGAATATACACCATTGACATGGATATAAATAATTTCTCCACATTCTCTAAGACATTAGAATGGAATTATGAATATGCTGAGCTGTTGTAATGAAATCTGTAACAATTGTGTTTTTTGACTTATATTTTAAAATAATATGCTACTTATATTTCTTTTCTACCAATTTCTTGTCTGGCATGCTTGATTTATTTGCCTGTTTCCCATTAGAGCTTCATATCAATAATTTAATGTCCCTTCAATGCAGCATTTTCCAAACTGTTTCTAAGATTTCATCAGATTTTACATAAAAAGCAAACAAAACATTTAAAAAACAACCAACCAACCACCAACCAAATAAATATCACCACTCTGTAATCTAATAAATTCCCGAAATCTAATTTAAATTCATCAAGAATCATACACACAAGCATATTAAAAGTTTTTAAAGAATGATGAGGATGCAGAGAAAGAGACTCTATCATATCTTGTTGGTGGAAATGCAAATAAAATAAAGCCTTTTTTGAAAGGCAATTAAAAAATATATTTTATTGATTTTTTACAGAGAGGAAGAGAGAGGGCTAGAGAGTTAGAAACATCGATGAGAGAGAATCATCTATCAGCTGCCTCTTGCACACCCCCTCTGGGGATGTGACTACAACCAAGGTACATGCCCTTGACTGGAATCGAACCCCAGACCCTTCAGTCCGCAGGCCTATGCTCTATCCACTGAGCCAAACTGGTTTTGGCTAGAAGGCAATTTGATAAAATAAACACAATTAAAAATGCATAACTATCCTATTACTCAGCAATTCTACTTCTAAAAATTTCTGTGTAAAAGCTCCTGAGGCACATGCACACAGATTTGTATTTGTTATAGCAGAAAGCTGCCAAAGTCTGCTTGGACTTTAGTGGGGACTGATTCACTAACGGACCAGCCATAAAATGGAATCTAACAGCCACTGAAAGATGGAGGTAGACTGGTATGTGCTCAGTAGAGAAAAATCTTGAAATATTGTTATGTGAAAAAAGTTATGAACAGTGATTAAACTGTATTAAAGAAGAAAGAACACATGTAACACACTGAAATTGACATATAAATGAATAGAGAAAATCTAAAAGGATATTTCAGATGTAATAGTGGGAAAAGGTTAGAACATGGTGATGGGAAAGAGGCAATTTCTTTATAGACACTTTTGTTGGATTTTTATTTTTATTGTTTTACTAATGAATATCCCTCCCCCCTTCTCCCCCCAACAACAATAAAATCCTAGCATGAAAAACAATATCCCCTAGATCCTAAGGCCTGGGAAATGCAGTAGAAAATAAAGCTATTTAATTGTATATATCTCAAACATTTGCTGGGAAGAGTCTGCAATATTCATGGGAATATAATATCACTTTGTTCTCTGAAAACAGATGCAAAATAAAATCTGAAGATAAAAGTAAATCTTTTTAGTGTTTCAAGCAAACAAAAACTGTGGAAATGAAACTTCTGTTTGGCACTTCCTATATGAGAAAGAATTCTGAAAAATATAGGCCTCACAAGGACACTATGAACTAAGGCAATCACAATGCTTTTGGTAAGCTGGTGAGGTAATGTTACTCATGTTGTTTCAATAGCATTATCCTATCAGTTTACAGACATTTTTTTTTCTTTCTGTGCTTCAGTTCTTTAGAGACTCTTCTAAAGTTACCCAGTTAGTATGTGGAGGCCAAGTATAGAGCCCGGGTTCAAGGCCAACAGAGAGACCAAAGACTCCACCTTTCAGCACTCATCTCTACAGCTCCTTCATGCATACCTTGGTCATCTATCTCACTGATAAGCTAAAGGGGCATGGCTAAAGTGGGATCAAGTCCAGCCTGAACTGCAATCTGTACAACTTCCCGTGGACTGATCTGTTCCTGAATGTGGTGCTGTTTTGGGAACAAGTGTGGGTGGAGGTGGCAGCAGCAGGCAAAGCTGGTGATGGCTTCAAACAGAGCCAACTGGGCAGCATTTGCCAAATGAGGTCCCACCAGTCAGTTATAGGGCATATAAATATTTTTAAAAATGAATTAAATATTATGTCTGTTTTATGCACTAGGATTCTGAGTAATTTTCCATATACAAAGGAGGTTTGTAAAAAATTGAACACCAGTCACTAAGAAGTTTAAGTTTGGAAAAACTCACTTCCATGGGTCAGAAGGAAGGGACAAAGAACCACCCAGCTGACAGATAAAATGAAGGAAGGATCCCAGGGAAAAGAAGAATGAAACTTTGTCTGAAATTATTTCAAAATTTTACTTTTGGAAAACTCTGGGTGAGGTTGCCTGTGAAGACTAGCACACAGCAAAGTTTGTTTTTTAATGCATTTTGTAGACGCTAAATTAGCATTTATTATTAAATAGGCATCTTCTCTATCATACTAACTGGAGAGAATGCCTCTGGATTCCTATGGAATTCAAGATCATAAAGCCCGAGAGAGGCAAAGCGGGAGACCTGTAAGGTTCGGCCATTTGTGTCAGGCCAGTAGCCAATGTAGTAACTGGAACCCCACTCAAAGAGCTCTTATAAAAGGCACATACCCCCACCCTCTCCTCACCCCAATCTGGTGCTCCACAGCCAGTATTTAATTTCTTTCACATGCTTCTTGGTTTTGATACTCTTGTCATAAACATATCCTGACCTCGCACTATAGATCAAATGGCTGAACTGTTATTTTTTACTTATCACATACATCCTTTTTAAGAACAATTCCTGACAAAGCTTATAAATGCTGATACAGTCGTCACAGAAAGAGTCTCTTCATAACCTTTGGGATAATCCCCCCTTCTTCAGAGCTGGAAGGAGGCCCGAGCCTCACTGTAGTGGAAATGGACATGTTTCTTATGAATCAAGGGTAAATAAGAGGCTTGTGGGTAAGTATGCCAGTCACACTAATATTCCTATATTTATGGAAGATTACATAGGGTGTGTTTCTCATGATCCATCATTTAGACTCTATTTTAGCATCCAAAATATTTCAGTCACTTAATAAATACTTATTCACTAGTTCACTGATAAGCTTTACTCTCTGTGATTAAAAGACCATTCCAGTTTATAAACTATAGCTGTATGACTGTCAGCTACGGTTGCCTAATTGTGTGTGACTTACATAGGGCATATGACAATAAATAGATAAATAAATAAATAAATGTAAACCTTTTTTTTTTTTTTTTTGGCTTCATGGTTTAAAAAGAGAAAAATTAGTCCCAAAAATATATTCCATTTAATATGTATTTGGACTTGAGCTTATTTAAGAACTAGGATAGATTAATTCGCACTTTTATTTATTTATTTTTATTTTTAAATATATTTTTATTGATTTTACATGGAGAGGAATTGAGAGGGATAGAGACTTAGAAACGTCGATGAGAGAGAAACATCGACCAGCTGCCTCTTGCACACCCCCCACCGGGGATGTGCCTGCAACCAAGGTATGTGCCCTTGACCGGAATGGAACCCAGGACCTTTCGGTCCGTGGTCCGACGCTCTATCCACTGAGCCAAACCGGTTTCGGCTAATTCACGCTTTTAGAAAGCATGATTTTTATTTTTTTTCCTAAGAGGAAATTCATATCACGTGGATAATATAATATAATCTGAACATAAAATAATTACACATTTACAAAGTTAATATTGTCCTTATTTCTATTACTTACCAACTCACTATTTGCACTGCATTTTATTGCTTTTCCTCTTTAACAGAGGTCTCCTCAATTGAATACACTGTTTAGGTTTTCCCCATCACCCACCTGCATAATAAGAGAAGGTGCGCTTGTTCCGGTCAAAAACAAACCAACGTTTTTTCCACGTTTTAATTTTCCCGCCCATCTTGATGAGGAATCCGCGGCAGGTCTTCTCGGTGATGGAGACGTGGTAACAGGTGTCGATGTTGTGGCCCGCGGTCTCCACGTGGCTCCGCAGGTCAAAGTCCTCCTTCCGGACGGGCAGGTAGCGTGTCAGAGGCCGAGCCTGGAAAAGGGCAAACCCATTGCACCCGAAACTAGTTATTTGCTTCGTGTAGATCAGAGGGGTGGAAGCAGAAAACAACCGAAAAGCCTAAGCATTAAAAAAAAATGCCCGTGTGATTTTGAGCACATGGGGTCTAAAAAGTGGGTAGCATTTTAAGAAGGATGCTACAATATTGCAGGGGTTGGGCGGGCTAGGTAAGGTGACCAGACATCCCGATTTTTAACAATTTGTTCCGAGTCGCCACAGGACTCGGGACAAATTGTTAAAAATCAGGACTGTCCCGCCAAAAGCGGGACGTCTGGTCACCTTAGTCTAATAAAATCAGGCCAATAGATTCTATGTCTAGAAATGGACAGATGAGAAAATGGAAAAATGTCATTTATCTTAGCTTTCAAAATGGTACTTGGCACTTAAAAACACAGGGGGGTGAAGCATGAAGTTACCTGGGTGGCTTCCTACAATGAGGACTCATCCACTGTCAAGTTTCCAGTTATTCTCCACCCCCTGCACCCCACCTCACAATAGTTCTTAAATAATTTCAGACATGACTGATGGAACATTCTTTAGTAAGTACAAGCTCCACAAGATTCCACCCTCCACCCCCAGCTGTACACATTGGCTTCCAAACATACACGCTCTAATAGAAATCTCAGGCAGAGATGTATGTTTTGCAAAGCGAAGCTAAACTAAGGTAAGAAGTGGAGTCAAAATTCTGTCCAGGACCAGACAGCGAAGAGATAGACAGAGATGACTTTTATTTTACTGCGGCTGGAGGAGAGGTGCGTCTGATCCAGGAAGCACAGATCACCATGGACAAGGCTTCTAAAATAATGCTTTCTTTGACCCTGTCACATTAACCCGCTCCTTTTACCCTGGGGAAAATTACCTCATTATAAACTTGGTTAAACCTTATAATTAGGATTAAAATGGAATTGTGCTTTTTTGGTTTGGCTTTCAGAATCCTAAACGGTGAATCAAAATTTGGCAGAGGTTTGGATTAATAAAATAAAATGAGCATGTTTCCCTTTGTAGCTCTCCTTCGATACTTTGCCTTTGATCCTGAGGCACTTTGTAAACAGATGTCTGTAGGCCTATGGTGCATCGCAGCCTTAAAGAAAGCCTCTCACTGCTGTACTAGCAACTGCCAGCAACCACATAGAACAAGGGAAATGGTGCCTTTTATCTTTAAGTCTAGTAAATGTTGGTAAAACTGATTTGAACTTCAAATTACATGGATTTAAATTCAAACTCTATGATGACCAAGATAAAAAGTTAAACAGAATGGGTGGTTCCCCAAGTCTTTTTAAAAAATATATATATTCTATTGATTTTTTACAGAGAGGAAGAGAGAGGGACAGAGAGTTAGAAACATCAATGAGAATCATCCATTAGCTGCCTCCTGCACACCTCCTATTGGGGATGTACCCGCAACCAAGGCACATGCCCTTGACCAGAATTGAACCTGGGACCCTTAAGTCTGCAGACCGATGCTCTATCCACTGAGCAAAACCAGTTTCATCTGGTTCCCCAAGTCTTGCTCGAGTTCAGTAATTTAGTGTAGTAATGGGGACACATGTGATAGATAATACAGTGGTTAGGAAACAACAACAAACCAGAACACTAACTCCACCACCAAGAAACAGGTCTGATAAAATTACCCTGTTCTGGAGTGTTTGCTCCCAAAATATGCCTTAATAGGCTCTCTTCTCTTCCTCAGCCAAAGCTTTTCGTTTGGGTGTTGTATTTGCTTTCAGGAGTAAATCCTGCTACATTTTTCAAAGCTCCTCAAAAAAATTCTCCTTTTAAAATATAGCCCCCAAAATGGGTAGAAGAAAAAGTGTTTTTCCATCAAACGTCTCATGCACGAGCAGAGAAAAGTGCCATTTGATTGATAGGCCCTGATAAGTTTCAAAATCAACGTGTTTGGTATTTTTTGCCCTCTAAGTGCATTTTCCCCTTAGCCACTACATGTCAAGAGCTAATTCCCAGAAGACATTCTGACACAGCATTACCTTCCTCTGCAGGAGACAGCCACTAGGGGGCAACATACTCTCATGAATCCAGATTGACCCACCAACCTGTGCCCTTTGTTTCTCCCTTATTTTCACTTCCTTTTCAATCAGCTTCTGCCTCTGGCTAGTTTCTTCCTGCAATCGCTTTTCCAGGAGTTCTCGGCGTCGTTTCTCTTCTTCCAAAGCTCGTTTTTTGGCTTCCATTTCCCGTTCCTAAATATCATCAGGCAGAGTACATTTTAAGAGACATCCTGATTATATTTGAATGAGTCCAATTAATATCAGAAAGGAAATTCTCGCTAGAAATTTTGGCTTATAACTTGGTCGCTTATAATATGTAACCTCGACTAAAACACTTGTAATCACCTCTCACATAGCTTGCAAAATCATCCTATGCAAAAAGGCAACCAGTAACTTGAACTTAAAAAATGGAATTTAAGTGAAAATCCAGCCAGTGATTACAGTACATTCCGTCTTTTCATACTGACCACGATTCTCCCATTTGTAGTAAAAAGCCTCTCAAATTGTCAACCAACACTGGTCATGAGAGTTAGCCTTTCTTTCAGTTGCCCTCTTCTAACTGAAGGTCATGCACGGGTCCTTCCAATTCCTGTTGTTGCTCTGCAGCTTCCTGGCCAAAGGTCGCAGAGGAAGCATGTGGGGGAGTTGGAAGAGGAAAGGAGGTGCCCCAAGACAGGATGCAAAGGCATTCTGGGGGATTCCTAAGGAAGTTCAGATTCTGCTTGAAACACAGTCACAATAATGAGGGATTTTTAATGTGACAATAGTGTAGTTAATGCAAGCTGACAAGGAAAAAAAACGACTACATAAAGACATTCTTTGGCAGGCAAACAAAGTGCTCGTCAAAAGAAAAACATAATACAAAGCATTCATTTCGGTCTCCATCAGCACTATGTCTATTTTCAATTATGGAAGATTGTAGTGGAATAAAGAGCCTTAGAAATCATCTAACACCCTTAGTTGTCAGATAAGAAAACGAAGACAAAAAAGGTTGAGTGACTACTCCACGATCACATCACTGAGTGAGGCCCTAGAATAGCTTCCCAGTTCAAGCACAGAGCACCTTGCACCCCACTTCTCTGCCTTCCAGCGTCACAATCTAAGAGACCTACCCTGGATTCCAGCAGCCGTGTCTTCTCTGCATGAGCCTGCTTCAAAAGTCTCTCCATCTCTTCTATTCTGGCAATATTTGAAGTGCTGGCGCTAAATAAAACATAAAAGCCTTTCAAGAATATTGTTTTGGAATGAGATATCTTCAAACACACACACACACACAAACACACACACACACACACACACACACACACACACACACACACGTTCACGAAGGTGTAGGAAAAAAATCCAACGCTATTTAAAAGGTCTGAATGGGCAAGTCAATTCAACTCTGAAAATTGTAGGTGATACTGACTTACCTCAGTGTAGGAGACAAAATACAGGCAAGCAACATAACACTCAAATGTTTTATCCATAAACAAACAGAAAACAATTTTATGAAGAATGTTTTCAAAATGCTTCTTGCAAAGTCTAAAAATTTTGGCCTGAGGGAGGACTTCCGATTAGCTGAATTATTCAGAGTGGACAGACCAACAGGACTGTCACTAAAGTTCTAAGTAAATGACACCTATGGTTTCAAGTACCTTTATTTGGTGTGGGAATATGTGTCATTAGCTTCTTTTTTGTTGTGCCTTCACATCTGTGGGCATTTTATTTTCTAAATGATAATGCCAATTAAAAAAATGACTACTTATAGGTGCAGTGGGAGGGTGGTGGCCAGTTTTATCAACAATACCCACCCGCCATACCAGTGAACAAACTGCATAAAGGGATCCAAGAATTTTGAAAGAAATGCATCTTGGGAAAGACATCACATAAACAACTAAATGGAAAAAACAAAAACCAGAGGAAATAAACACTGAAAGAAGAGCTAGGGGTAACCAAATGAAAAAGAGAAGAACTTGGAAGTGAACTAACTGAATAAAGGAATTCAAGAGCTTCATAAGAAATGCAACCTGGAAAGACATCACACACACACACACACACACACACACACACACACACACACACGTAAAGGGAAAAAACAACAACAGAGGACAAGAAAATTTAAGGATAATTAAATGAGTTAGAGAATTACTTGGCAATGTTTAAAATAAACAAAAATTTCTATTTTTCACTTGCTTACATTTTATTTCACTAGTTTGGAAAACAGAGATGGTGGCCGAGGTAAAAATGTATTTACTCTGATGTGTGCAGCTGCGGGAGAACCGAAGTTGTTTCTTATGCATGTGCACATGTACAATCACTTACTTCTCTGTCTTCTTTCCCAGACTCTCTTTCTGCCTCTATCCCTCATAGCATAGCATCCAGCACATAGTAGGAATTTATGTTTGTAAGACATATAAAAGTGAGTTCATATAATATATTTACACACACCGTATTTTCCGGTGTATAAGACGACCCCCTAATTTTACAGTTAAAACATAGGTTTAGGCCTATATTCGCTGTATAAGACTACCCCCCCACTTCCGAGGCAACGCCAGTTCTTTTTGTAATAGACCACCTGTCTGACTCTGGCCAATCTGAGCAGGCTTTTTACTAGAACACAGTGTAGCTTCGGGTACAGAACATGTATAATTTGCATGCATAAAAAGCCTGCTTGGATTGGCTGAGTTAGAGAGGCGGTCTATTAAAAAAAGAACTGGTGTTGCCTCGGAAGTGGGGGGTAGTCTTATACAGCGAATATAGGCCTAAACCTATGTTTTAACTGTAAAATTAGGGGGTCGTCTTATATGCCGGAAAATACGGTAAGATAATTACTGTGGTGTTTCAAAATCAGGCTTTGGATCATCTCAAAAGTAGGTTTTTTTGTTGTTGTTGTTTTTTTAAAAATATATTTTATTGATTTTTTACAGAGAGGAAGGAAGAGTGATAGAGAGATAGAAATGTCGATGAGAGAGAAACATCAACCAGCTGTCTCTTGCACACCCCCTACCGGGGATGTGCCCGCAGCCAAGGTACATGCCCTTGACCGGAATCAAACCCCGGACCCTTCAGTCCACAGGCCGACACTCTATCCACTGAGCTAAACCGGTTTTGGCGGTTTTTTGAAGAGATAAATGACCACAGTAACACTGGACATGTGGTTTATCTTATGAACACAGATGTTTTTAGCAATTTTTTTCATACTGGTATTTGCCAAAATTTGGAAGCAACCAAGACGTCCTTCAGTAGGTAAATGAATAAACTGTGGTTTATTCAACATTCCTATTTATTATCTAGCTTGTGCCCTGAACATTGTTACAGAAAAGTCAGTGTATCCAATCCTTCACTGTTTGGACAGCACTGTTAGAATGATGATTCTCATGTTGCATATTCCTATAGCTTCCATTCACTGGCCTCAGCATGACCCTGAAGCCACTGAAACCTACCCAGATGAACTGGTTGCAAGTAACCTGGTTCAATACAAATATTTTCAGTCCATGGTTTTTCATATATTTGCAATTTGGGTTCATCTTAGGGGTAAATTTTCAAACATTTACCCAACTTTCAATATCTCTGTTTATTTTTTAAAAGAAATTTTCAGAGAGTTTTCTATTTATTTGATAACTAGAGGCCTGGGGCATGAAATACATGCATGGGGGTACCCTTTTCAATCCAGGACCCCTTGGGAGATCAGGCCTGCCTAAATCGGCAGACATCCCTCTCACAATCCTGGAGCACTGGCTCCTAATTGCTCACCTACCTGCCTGCCTGGTTGCCCCTAAGTGCCCACCCCCACCAGCATGGTCACGTCCAACTGCCCCTCCCCCCCTGCTGGCTTAATCACTCCTCACTGCTCCTTCATGCCCCCCCTACTGGTCTGGTCACCCCTAATTGCCCCCCTCTGCCAGCCTGGTCACCCCTAACTGCCACTGCGGCTGGCCTGATCGCCCCCAACTGCCCCCCTGCCAACCTGGTCACCCCTCACAGACCCCTCCACCTGGCTGGTCACCCCACACTGCCTGCTGTTCAGTTGTTCGGTCATCATCCCTCACTAACTCCCTGCCGGCCTGGTCATAGGCAGCCATCTTGTGAGGGTGTAAGGATTAATTTGCATGTTACCTTTTTATTATATAGGATAGTTCTTTTTAATTTTATGCCAATTATATCTAATTTTATTTGGCAATGTTTCATAAATGTCTTAATTTTTGCACCAAATGAACTGAGTTTTCTGAATACACTTGATAGAAGAAAGTACATGTTAACACTGACCATATCTTCATTATTTTAGGCACTTAAAGTCACAAAATTTTTTTAAACTATGCTGGATACATATTAAAAAGACACAAGTATTTTATTAAAAATATAAATTTTTAACCATAGACAATTGTTCTCCATAGGCACATATTTGTTACTGTTTGCTTGAATATTTCCTTGGCATTAAGCTACTTTTATTCAGTAAAACTTCTGCTGCTCTATAAAATCATGCTGCCATCCTTTGATGAGATTCACTTTAAAAAGAGTCAGGAGGAGCCCTGGCTGGGTGGCTCAGTTGGGTAGAGCATCGCCCCATATACCGAAAAAGAGTCAGGAGGCCACTGAGGATGTGAGGTCCATGCTCATCTCCTGCCTCAGAGCTGCTCTGAGGTGGCTAACCGGTTGCTACACTCCACTCAACGCTGAGCCTTAAACATCCTGGGACAACTGCTGTATGTACATGTATGGGCATCACTTCCTCCTCCTAATTTCTGACTCCGTCATTTGCATATTGGAACTGCCCAATACCTGGTAAGTTAGCCAGATTCCTTCATTTTCGTGGAGGACCAGAATGGAAACCGGACTTGTAAGTTTCACCTCTATAAAATCCTGCCTTTCTCTTTTCCCTTCTGAGCACAATTGAGGTTGCTGCCTGAACCTGGGCCTTCTGGGTTGTGAACATTTTTGATCAAATAAATACTTTTTGTTTTTTATTGGAGCCTAAACCTCTTCTTTGGTTAACACTATCCAGGGTAGAAAACAGAAAATAAACCTTAGTCTAAAATGAAGGGATAAGAAGCACTTCAAATTGTGGTTAAAGCATTTTTTAAAACCAAGTTCAGCCATCAATTGTTCTCAATCCGGTTCCCACACTTATTTCTTTCTCTCACACATACATTATTGGTTTTTAAGCTATCATGAGCAATCAGCTTCCTCAATATTTTCTAAAAAAAATATGAGCACAGGGTCAGAACTTAGTAAGTTAATAATGGCAATAGTAATAATTTTGTATTACTATAGGAGGTATTTACAACACTACATTCTATAAGATAATCAGTAATTCTAACAGAATATAGATTTTATGCAGAATCAATTCTCAGTTACTGTTTTCTAAAACCAAGACCTGCTTTCTTAGCTCCATGTTTGTTTACTGTGTAGTAAGAATGCTGAAAAAGCAAAAACATTGTCTGACTCAAGTAACTTTGGTAGATGCAGAAATGATGTCTCAACAAAAACTGAAGGGCAAATGTACCCACAAGTCTGAGGAATTCTATAATTCTACAAATGGCTTTTTGTGACATAATAAACCACAAGACTATGTTTATGTCACTAGAATTTCAGCATGCAATTACCTTTTTGAAATATGTATTATTTTAGATTATTTTAATACATAATTAAAAAAATTTTTTTTAAATGAGAAAATTTTTAGTCCTTTATTCTTCTTTTTACTATCTTCACAGAGTTTCCATTAAGGAAGTTGTTGTAATACACATTCCAAACATTAGTTCCTATTACCCACTTCCCTGATGTTTATCCTTGATTTTCCACCATAACAATGGGTGTGGGCTTATCCTAGGGAAGCATGGGTTTTTTAAAGGTACACGGTGGCACAGAGGAGACATACTTGTTTTTCTCTCCCTTGTCTGCTAGACCTTTTCTAGGCATCTTCTACTCTGCCATTTTTGGACCTTCAGAGGATCTGACAGAAAAATTAAATAAAAGCTGTGAGTAACTGCTGACTGTAGTGACTGGTTACCCACAACTGCTGGCACTGCCAGGTCAGTTCCGTGTGCAGGAACTATGGAAAACGACGGTGGCCACACCTAACTACCTGCCAGGAACGGTCACTCTGCAATGATGCTATTTTCGTAATGCGGCATGTTCAGTGGGAACATTCTTGTTTTCAACCCTTGAAAACCGTTCTAAGAAAAAGCAACCAAATGAGCAAACAAAAATAAATTAAGGTTTTGCTGGTCACCATACTTAAGTGTTCGTCAATCTGAATTTGTAATGGTTGGTAAATATAATTGAAGTGGTTCCTTTTTAGGTAATTTCCTGCACTCACTGCTGCACTGCAGTTGTTGACCTCCGTTAAGTAGGAGAGATGGGGAAGGGAGTGATTATTTGGAAAGATGCATATTTACTTCTAATTTTGAAGGGAAAGAAGAGGAGAAGAGAAAACAGAAAAAGAATAAAACATCAAGATAGGAAAACCCTAAGAGTGAATGTATTTATTAAAGATGGCTCAACTCCAGCTGGCTTGGCTTAGTGATAGTGTTGGCCTGCAGATGGAAGGATCCCAGGTTCAATTAAGGTCAAGGGCACATGCCTGGGTTGTGGGTTCATTTCCCAGTAGGGCATGCAGGAGGCAGCCGATCAGTGATCTCATAATTGATGTTTCTATTTCTTTCTCTCCCTCTCCCTTCCTCTCTGAAATCAATAAAAAGGATGGCTCAAAAAGAAAAAAGAAAAAGGTCAAGCTTTCAAGAATTCATCATAAGAATATTGTTATAGCATGTTCACAATTATTAGGGAAGAGGGGAGAGTAGTCTGATGTTTTCCAAATAACAACTAAGTACAAAGTGCCAAAGAAACGTGGGCAGTCCCTCTATGATTACTACATTGGGAAACTAAACTGCTGCATTTTGTATTCTGTTTTAACGTCCAACTTTTACTCCCATCATCATTATATAATATGCTGAGTTACTGATTTCTGTTTGGATCCGGTTATTCAAAAATACCACATAGAATTGGTCTGGTCAGTTTACATAGGACAACAGTCATTTATGAATAACTACTCAAAGCTCTAGGATTTCTGTCCTGAGAATGTCAGCTCCTGCTGGCTCGGCTCCAACACCCTCACCAGGACCACAGGGACTACCTCAGCACCTTCAGGTGAGAGATGGTTTGATGCCCAACGTTCCACACACTCATGAGTCTTCCTCAGAATAGTCATGTTATATATATATATTTTTTAAAGGGAAATACTGCATCTTCTAATATATATGCCTAAGTGACTGGCCATCCGGTAGCTATGATGCACACTACCACTCAATGCAGGAGCGGAAACCACAGGCATGGAAACATGGAACAGTGACAAATCTCAGAAGGAAAGGGTAGGGGGGAGGGTGGGAAGAGATTAAATAAATATTTTATATGAATACTAGAGGTCTGGAGCATGGATTCGTACACCGGTGGGGTCCCTGGACCTGGCCAGTGGGGATCGGGTTGAAACCAGCCCGGTACACAGATTTGTGCACCGTGTGTTCCCTCAACCTGGCCTGTGCCCTCTCATTAGCTGGGACCTCTCAGGGGAGGTCTGAGAGCCGGTTTCAGCCCAATCCCTGCAGGCTAGACCGAGGGACCCCACCATTGCATGAATCTGTGCACCGGGCCTCTAATATTGAATAAAATGAAATACTAAACCTTCTAACATTAAATAATAATGGCAGCAAAAATAACATCTTTATTCATTATTATTATATAATTCCTTCCTTAAATTTGGGTCATTTTCATGTGATAAGCGGTAATTACAATTATGGCTGCTTTTATGTTTTTCCCAGGAATGCCTTTTTTTTTTCTTTTTCTGATAGGATATATCCAGTAATATTAATATTTTGCCCACTAATGTCAGATTTAAAATGCACTATACCCTATTTATTATAGACTATTGTATCTGTCCTTCCCTATTTCCCCTTCTCCCCCCCAAATTTCCTGGCTACAATGTCTGGTTACAATTGGCTCTCTCATATTCTTTTCATTTATGAAACACTAACCCAAATGCTAAGTATAACTTGCTAATAGTCTTTCCTTCTGCCTTTGTCACTCTTTTTTATTTTTATACTTTTTTTTTTTTGCGGGGGGAGGAGGGTAAGTTATTGAAACCATTTTAAAGAATTAAATTATGTTCAAATGATGCCAATTTTCCATCAATTATTTAAAAAGCCGTTCTTCCCCTTTTTTCAAGAAAGAAGCCCTCCATTTCACAGACTAGCAAATCAGGGCCGAGAGAAGTCTGAGGTCTGCTTTAAGTGGAACAAGTACTCCTGTCCTTAACCTGTGCCTTCATCCCAATATAGGAAAACTTGTTTGATGGCAGCTATCCAAATAGACATTTTCTTTTAAGACACAAAAATGCTCAATTAGTGTTTATTGAATATTGGATTTCTTTTTGCTTTAAATCTTAATGCTTCTAAGCCAATTAGCTAACTAGATCAAACACAGAAAAATGTTAAAATTGAAAATATGTCCATTTTATTACATCCTGAGGTACTTATTTAGCTAAAACTTATAGAATACCTACTATATATACATCAATATCTCTACTGGGTGTGGAAAGTGAAAGATGATTAGACATCTTCCTTGACATTGAGGATTTCACCCATTAATTACTGAAGAAGAAATTTACACTGCAATGGGATCAGTGATATATTAGAAGAAAAATAGCTAGCGCACTGGAAATACAGAAGAAAAAGTCCTGAAGAAAATTTTTCATATGAGTTTCCAACTTCAGTTTGAACTTGAAGGATGAGGAGAATTTCTCCAGGTCAGATGGGAGTGAGACAATGATGGTGGAATAGATAGTTTGTAAGGCCAGACAAGATCAGTGCTCCGTAGGTACAGGTTGAGTGAATAAAACAAACAAAAGCATGAACTGACAACAGACACTGGTGTGCTGGTGTTCTAGCTCTCTGGAGGAAAACAAAAACCCTAATGTGTAGCAATTGTTGATTTATGTGGAATGTATATTCCCACCATGGACAATCTCAAACTTCCAACATGACATCACTGATTGCAGAGTTAGGAGAAAATATGCACATTTGGCACTTGCCAGCCAATATGAGCCGATTCTAGCCCACTACTGACTGTACAGGAATCCATGTGTTTTTGTGGAATGAAGGAGCCTCTAAATGAATGAGTGAACAAACTACACAATTCCAGGGCAAGGACCAAGATGGTTAAAGGTGCAGAGATCTGAGAATTCATCACCCTTTCAATTAATAGTACAAAGTTCTGTGAGGTGCATCAAAAGAGAATGAACAAGGGAGAATGCCATGATCTGGGGTCTTACTTTATTCAAAAGGTAGTAGGGCATCATCAAAGCTTTTGAAGAGAAAGGGTACCACGACTAGATCTATGTCTTAGATGTGCCTTTAGCTATAATTCCATGAAAACATTTTTGTGTGCCTCAAAGTATAAACACAAATGTGAATAGTTAAATCCTTACAAAAAATTTAAATATGCAGAACAGCTAAGCCTCTCTTTTAATGAAACACAAGGGTAAGAAATCTTTCAAAGTTCTTACTCTGCTGTTGGAGATTATTTCCTTATTTAATAAAAAGCAGTCCTAATGAAGCTTAGAGTCAACCAACAGAAGCAAAATGGTTTTGAAGCACAGTATATGTGTGAACTCAAATGTAAACAATGAAGAAAGATGGACTACCTCATGTCTGACTGGCTGGGTCACACAGGATACAAAGAAATTATTTTAAAGGCCACCATGACACCCAACTTCTTTTTGCATTACGGACCCTTTATGTCTCAGAAATTTGGGTTTGATATATACATACATTGTCCCAAATTGATGTCTTTACTTTGTGAAACCACCAGATCCTTCTCCCAACCAGACAAACCTTACCTACAAAGAAATCTTACCTAGAGATATTGTCAGGTGAGCAAGCAGAGATGCTGGTCTCCATGCTATCAGAGCTGTCTAGGCTCAACGTATCAAAGGCCTGGTCCTTGTAGCCATGATCTGGGTAGTGGAAACTGTTCAAGTAGACATTTGATTCAGATGCTGTGCGGTTGTAGAACTCAGAAGATTTCTGCCTTTGTCCTTCACTCATCTGTTGGTGATTATACCCTAAGGAAAGAGCCATAAATATGTTACTGTGCCTCATTTTTCAGTCTTAGATCTTATAAGTCTCAAACTAGCAACCCAAAACATCTGCCTATGAAACTTGGCCCTTGGTCTAATTTGTTTTGAAGCCAAGAAGATCAAAGAAACAGCATCATGCTCAGTGCAAGCACCACATTCAAAGAAGTGGTCTTGTGAGTGACCTTTTTTTTTGTTGTCAGTGGATCACCTGACACTTTCGTATGCCATTCCCACATCTCTGCACAAATGAGATTAATATTATCAGCACACCCAGAAACAGAAGAAAACCAAAACAGAAACACAGTGAACGGCCCTGAATCCTTTCAAAATAGCTGGGTTTACATCAGGGCAAAATGACTCCTAGTGACAGGCAACAGCAGGGTCTTAGGGCCGTCAGTTCTTCAATGATATTCATATTTAAAGAGATACCCAATCTGGTCATAAAGAGCAAGTGAATCAGGTAGGTGTAGGATTTGAGAAACCTATTATTTACTCATCATCACTAATACTTTCATCTGGTTAAGAGACAAACTGTACATTTTTCTCATTTAAAAAAAAAATTTCCTTGTGCCCAAACCAGTTTGGCTCAGTGGACAGAGCGTCGGCCTGTGGATTAAAGGATCTCAGGTTTGATCCCCATCAAGGGCCTGTACCATGGTTGCAGGCACATGCCCAGTAGGAGGTGTGCAAGAGGCACCTGGTCGATGTTTCTCTCCCTTCGATGTTTCTAGCTCTCTATTTCTCTCTCTTCCTCTCTGTGAAAAGTCAATAAAATATATTTTTTAAAAATTTCCTTGTCTGCTATTATTTATTTAAAATATTCAGAGACAGCAATCCTTCCAATGGTTGTACTCCGCCTCGCTACTGTACATACAGTAAGTCCTAACATCATTGATAGATTCTTGAAACTGTGGTGAAACGACCATACAAAAACCAGTTTTCTCACAGGCTAATTGATATAAACAAGAGTTAAGTTTCTTTGGCATCTCATCAATGTTATAACAAAACACCATTATTTGAGGATCTGTAGCTATAGCTATCTTCTTTATTCACCTGAACCGCCAGCTTTCCATCAGTTGGTGATATTAACCACATGACAATGCAGAAGCTACATCAGTAGCAGCAAAGGTACTATAATATTACTAAGAGGCATTCTCCTTATCCTGGTGCTTGGTCAGCTGTGCATTAGGTCATTGGCTTTACTTCGCGTTATTGCTACAGCTTGTTCGATAGCAGCTGATTTGGAGCAGCATAAACTGAGTTTTTCTTTCCTTTCAATTCTCTATGTACCATACACTCAGGAAGCAGGGGTCATACTGATAAACAAATTCTTCTATTCATTCATTGCTTTAGCCAGTACTGTAGTTTGCTATCTCTTTCTCTCTGAGTAAACTGACTATTAGACCTATGAGGAGCTTACAATTGGCCCGTTTGAATTTTGCCTCTTTCCTTGTGCTTTGCTTATCTTACACTCAGGCTTCTAATTGGTAATGAATTGTCCAAAAAGTGGGCAAGAGAGTGAGAGAAGGCAAGTGATTTCAAACAGCTTCCTCCACTGTTGATTGAACATTTCTATTTAAAACCAGAGCTATCTTCATGATGCAAAGCATCACACACCAAAGGCTACTAAAGAGTGATTTTAGTTCTGTGAGTTTTGACGCATTAAAATTTGGGACAGTTTTAGGTATATGTTAATTCAGATAAGGCCTCTTCTGAAAAAAAAAGTTTTTGTAATATAAATTATAATTATCCTATATAATAAAAGCATAATAATTTAAGGGAAATATGCAAATTGACCCAAGGGCAGAATGACCAGAAACGACCAGTCACTATGACGTGCACTGACCACCAGGGGGCAGACACTCAATGCAGGGGCTGCCCCCTGGTGGTCAGTGTGCTCTCACAGGAGGAGCTTCACTCAGCCACAAGTCGGGCTGACAGCTGCAAGTGCAGTGGTGGTGGCGGGAGCCTCCATGACAGCGCTAAGGATGTCCAATTGCAGCTTAGGTGGGGAGCAGGCCTAAGCTGCTGCTGGATGATCCCCCAAGGGATTCTGGGCTTCCAGAGGGATGTCTGACTGTCAGCTTAGGCCCAATCCCCAAGGGGTCCTGGACTGTGAGAGGGTGCAGGCTGAGGGATGTCCCCCCTCCCGAGTGCACGAATTTTCATACACCAGGCCTCTAGTCCTATATAAAAGTATAATATGGTAATTAGACTGGACATCCTCCCAGTCGTCCTTCCAGACAAAGCTGGGGCTGCGAGGGAAGCCTGAGTCCCGGGTGCCAGAGGGAAGCTGGCACTAGAAGGCTTACTCTGCATGAGTTTTGTGCATCAGGCCTCTAGTAAATTATAAATACCAACACACACACACACACACACACACACACACACACACACGTAAAAGCTACATATCAGTAAGGTAAGATGAAAAATATAAATGCAAACCATAAGATTTTAGGTAAATTACCATTACTTGTAGTGATTAATGCATAAAGCATTAAATGAAGCCAGTACAGTCATGAGAGTGGAGCATGTGCCTTAAAAAAAAAAAAGGCAAACAATTTATTACTCAATATTTACCTTTGATATTTGAACTTTTAGTTACTAATTGCTCCTTTTAATTTTTTAAAAATTATTCATTAGGAAAAGGAAGAGGGCAAAAAACTCACTAGAAACTATTTAAAAAGTTCATACATGTATCTTGCCTCTGCTTTCAAAAGGTTTGTTGGCAAAGAAAAGGTCTACATTGACACCAACTACATGGATGACATTTCCTTGTTTTAATATGAAAAATAAATCCCTAAAAGACAACCATGTAATTGAAAACACTCAAGAGTTGTCTGCTTGGCAATGACATGTGCCTTGCTTCAGCTTTCCCTTTGCCTCCAGTTTTTCAAAACGAGGAAAGGTCAGTCCCTATGACGCAGTAACACTTCCTTAGAAAAGCGGAAAGGAAGGTGAGTATATTTCTTCTTAAAACAATACATGCCCTGCTCCTCAAATCTTCCAGGATTCCTGCCTCCCAACCCCCCAAAAAGTATCACAGAATAAGCAAATGAACTTAGTATCTTCATACTAGGTGAGGCTAAAATCATTCAAAATTTTCAGATGCAGTCACGAGAAAAAGCATGAGAAGGTGTACTGTGCTAAGGATTGTGCATGTAAATTTCCCAGATCACCTCACTATTTGTTGAGGTTTGGCTCTATGTCTTAGGGAATCTCCCACCATTCAGGTGGTAAAATAAGCCTGACATTTTCACGGCAACTTAAATGAAAAAGCCAGCTGCCAATAAGCATGTCTTTCACAGCGCAGGGCTTTTGCTTCCTGCGAACCTATTGTGAATGGAAATGTTCTATGTTACAAAGCTTCTCATTTCTCCCAAAGGGCAATGTTTTATTGACCACGATGAACTCAACTGTCACCTGGCTTAGCCTCCTCTTTATTGAACAATTAAAAAGACCCACACACACACACCAAGTTGACCCTGCTATTACAAATAAGGCCATGGAGCTCGCCTCTGGGCCCTGGAACCGTGCCAGGGTGATTCCAAAGAGCTGGTATTGGGATTCAGGCTCAGACTTGGCCAGCCAAAGGGGTAGGTACTTTTATTAGAGGAGGCCTGAGAGGTGCCGGTGCAGTGAGGTAGCACAGAGGACACACCTACGTTCTGTTCATCACAGATTCCCCGTTTATTTAACATATGGATGTCATGAAATGAAAAATCACACAACAAATTCATGTTCTCATCTATAAATGGCAACCAAATTAGTGGCTAAGTAAAGAAGTGGAATGCATTCACTTTCCAAATTAAGTAAGTGGATTGGAAATAACGAGGCTTTCCCAGCCCCTGAGACTGCTTGTTTTAAGTTATGCAGCAAGAATAACATGCAGCAGTGGGCAGCATCTAAAAAGTAAAAAGGGCCTAGTAGATGCTTCAAATCCTTTCTATTCGGACAGAAAAAAGCTATTTGAAAGGGACCTGATATCTGAGGTCAGTCGCTAAGCATAATACACACAAGGACTCCAAACAAATCAACTCTCTTCACTGCCCAAGAAGAGCCAATATTCTGCACGTGCAAGGTCCACTTATTATTGAGTGCCAGCCATTGTAAATTCTGAGTAACTGGACCTGAGAAGTCCTGTATGAGCTGACCACTATGAGATACACAGTCTTGCCCATATCTTCCAAATGTGTAGTATATACTTTAAACGACTATCTAGGCCTTAATATAGAAATGACTTAAAATTACAACCTGGGTTTAAGAGGACAAAATCAACCCATATTTCTGGCAATTCAGCCTTTCATTGCTCACCTGCTGATAAATTCATTCTTCCTAACCATATTCCACAGCCGGAAGATGAAGGCACAGGACAAGTCAGGAATGAAGAGAACGACAGAGAAAGGGAAAAGAGATACAAGATCAAAAAGGATGACCAGAGGACAAGAAAAATACACGACACTTCAACATGCAGTCATTGTCGGTGTTAGTGACGACAGCAGAGTGACGAGGCAAGATGTTCACATCTTTAGATTAAATCTGAGTTTATAGAGAAGAACTCAAGAAGCTAAAAAACACAATAAGCTTATAATACATGCACACAAAAGATTTCTTAAGGAAAAAAATATTTCTTGAGTCAAAAAGATTTCTTAAGTCAAAAAAGATTTCTTATGGAAAGAAAAATAGGGAGAATAAAAGCAAGATTATATCCATAAAATACCTCTTTTTTTTTTTTTCCATGCAGAGAGTAACAAATTGTTTTTAAGGGCTAAGGTTTGTAAAATGTCATTCAATTATTTGAAGCAGTGTCCATCAAATTGTATAATTCAGTTCTCTAATATCCTACATCTCTATCAGCTAGCCTCAGTAATTACATCTTATTGATTCAGGCCAGCCAGTTAAACTGTTCTTCACTCTCCACTAAATCTTTCACATGAAATAGTCTTAAATGGAATGATTACATAGGGGCCCTTTAAATCTTTCTATCTTCCCACACAGCCTGCTTTATTTATATCTGGTCTTTATAAAGGAGGAATCTCCTGTCTTACATTTAGCCTATATACACACAAGACCTACTCTTTTCTTTATCTAGATCCTGAGTCTTACAAAACAATGCTTGCCAAGCACTCATGCTTCTTGCAGGGTCTGTCCTTGTCATAAAAAAAAAAAAGAAAAAAAAAAAGAAAAAAAAAAGAAAAAAAAAAAGAAAGCAAAACAAAGAAGGTCATGCAGCTGCCTGTGAATGAATGGCAGCTGCACCCTGCAAGGGTGCAACGACTTTTCCCCATTGTGTAAAAGGAATAATCATCAGGCTAAGAATCTGCCATTATACAGTTCTAATTCTGATCACTTCTTAAAGATGACTTCACAATGACCTTTCACTATTAGCTGAAAACAAAAACACCACACAAAGAGGTTGTCATACCTTTCTTGGACTTTCCTGCATTAAACAAAAGACAAAAGGACAAAGATTTCATTCATTCTAAAGCTCACAAAGCAATAAGTTCACAAGCTGTACAAAAGCCAATAACCATTACAACTTTAAGAGCCCAGTTCCTGGGCTGTCTGCTTTCAACTCTGCCCTCGGGAACCTTTGTCTGCATGACTCACATTGTTGGTTCTGTTAAAACAATGCTGATTGCCCGATGGCTTATACTTACACCATGGTCCTTGATGTGTCCGTGATGCACAAACAGCAAAAAAAAATAGTTCATTTAAGTTAACTGTGCAAGTCAACAAAAATGGTGAGATATATTACATTTTGAGTTGATGAAAATGTGCTAGATCCAAACTTTTTCAAAACCGTTAAATTTTACTTGTATACTAGTGCTTGTGAAACAATGCGAAATGAAATGGTGACTCAACCCTCCAGGTTACTGGGCCACCAGTATGGATGAGAGGGCAGGGTGGGGCGAGGATGAGCTTCCGACTCCGCCCCAGGGCGGAGTCATCCCTAGCCCTCACCCAACCAATCAGGGTTAGCCGAGGCAGTGACATCACCATCGACCGGAGTAAAACCCCTGGACTGGAAGAAATTCTCTCTCTTCCGCCATGCTGCCGGCACGAGTGGGGGGGCCCATGCTAGCATGGTAAAGGCTCTTTTGTTTATTGCATCGGACTCGGCTCCCTGGTGGTCCTTGGGGATCACGAAGTCTGGACGTCACGGGCTCAATAGAAAATCCTGCCAAATGTAAGGTCTGCTGTGGCTCTAAGAACTGTGGTCCCCGACCCCTCCTCCTCCAGGTGGGGGAGCTGCGGGAGACAGGCTGGCCTCACAAGACACAGCTCATGCCATTGGATCCACACACACGGTGCTTCTCCATTTCCTCAGAAGAGGTCTCATCAGCACCATAGAAACGCTTTAAGGAACCCCACTTCATCTGCAGTAGGAAGACTGAAGTGCAGTCTTCTCGGGTGTACAAAAGGCCTACCAGCGAAGAACCAGAGCAAACAGATCAAAGACAGTGCACTTTCCAGAGGGCACTTCCCTAAGGAGACCCGAGAGAATCAGATCCATTTTCCTGTATGAATGTAGCTTAGGGATTCCCATTATTTGAGGGGAAAACAGAGATTAGAAAATTGGAGATGAAACATCCATATTCTCACAAGGATCATCTTACATGGTAATGTTAATAATTCTTGTTTTTTCAAATCCATGTAGTATAGAGGTCTCATTTTCCTTACTCTCTATTTAGAGAAAATGTTTTTAAAATAAAGTATGGTATTGGGGCCAATCCAAGCTTTGATGTCTTCACCCACTGGGAAAAAACACATTTAAAAAGAAGTCTATAAATATTGCAGAAAAATGCTTCAATAAAAAACAGGCCTGACTCAAATGAACAGTAATAAATGAGAGCTAAATGGTGCTTTTATGTTTATTATTTATAAATCATAAGAGCTATTTTTTAGCTTCAGAACTTATTTTTAAAAAACTAAAAGGCCCTGGCTGGGCAGCTCAATTGGTTAGAGCATCATCCCAATATGCCAAGGTGGCAGGTTTGACCCTGATCAGGGCACATACAAGAATCAACCAATGAAGACATACATAAGATAAATAGGTTGAATAACAAATCAACATCTCTTTCTTTCTCTTTCTAAAAATCAATAAATAAAACTAAAAACAAAACAGAAGTTCAATCAAGTGTATTTTATCTAAGTGTAACATAAACCTATCACACATTATAAACCTCTCTTCTGACTACTACAGACTCTATTAACTATTAACTAATTTCTAATACTGATTCAAAAACCTTGCTCAAGCCCTAGCTCGTTTGCTCAATCAATAGGTAGAGCACCAGCTCTCAGACTGAAGGGTTGCAGGTTCGATTCCAATCAAGGGCACATGCCTCGGTTGCAGGCTTGATCCCCTATTCTGGGTCAGGGTGAGTGTGTGAGGCACCAATCAATGTGTCTTTCTCACATCGCTGCTTCTCTCTCACTCCCTTCCATTCTCTCTAAAAATCAATAGAAAAAGTATCTTCTGATGAGGATTAAGAAAACAAAAAAACAAAAACAAAAAACAAAAAACAAAAAAAGAAAGAAAAAAGAAAAAAACAAACCTCATTCAAGTGATATATATGTATATACACAAAAGTTATACACATACATATACACACCACACATACATACATACATATATATATATACATACCAAAATGTATATATTTTTTTCCTTTTTTTTTGTCTGATAGAAAACCGGTGATTATCCCCTGATACCATTGGCAGAGAGGCTGAGCAGTCAGGATGGAATCCCAGCCTGCTTGGAGGGAAGAGATTCAATCCCACTGGTCCATGAATACAGTTAGGGGCTACATGCCCACCGCTCTATCAGCCTCCGCATTTACATCCTTTCACACCTCCATCACTTTTATCACATTTTATTGAAATTATCTGTTATGTGTCTTTTTCCCTCCCTAGACTATAAGCATTTCAAGGCAAGAATCATGTCATTCATTTGCATTCCTGGTCTCTAGCAACCCTGCCTATTCAAAAGTGAGAGCCAGCCAGGCCGGTGTGGCTTAGTGGTTGAGTGTTGACCCATGAACCAGGAGATCACGATTCAGTTTTGGATCAGGGCACATATCTGGGCTCAATTCGCAGTAAGGTGTGTACAGGAGGCAGCCAATCAATGATTCTCTCTCATCATTGATATCTCTCTCTCTCTCTCTCTCTCTCTCTCTCTCCCTCTCTCTGAAATTAATAAAAAAATTTAAAAAAAAAAAAGGTGAGCTAAGTTGTTGATCTAAGCAACTGTGCTAACACAATAAATCTAATCTCAACAAGACTCTCATAGTTGGAACTGTATTGTAGTTATTTCTTCTAGCCCGCAAAGACTATTTGAGAACCCGTTATAAATGCAATGAATTTTTTACAAAGAAATAAATACCCTGAGAATCAAAGTCTACCTTAAATCTAACAACCACATTAGAAGAAAGGCTCAAACAACATTAAAAGGCCTATGGGAATTCTGTCCTGGGCCACTGGTGCGCCATTTACTGTCAGTTCAATGAATCCTTAGCACATGTTTCAACACAGTGGCTCAGCCACAAACCAGGTGAGTCACTTAGGATCTCTCTTTTCTTTCTACCTATAAAATGCAAAGATTAGCGATTCTCTAGGGGCATTTCTGTTTTGAGAATACTATTACTAATAAATTTATGAAATGCAAAATTTGAAACATACCAGTCATTTGTGTATATAGAAAAAGTTACCTTAGTACAACAACAATCTATCATCGATCTATCTATCTATCTACCTATCTATCTATCTATCTATCTATCTATCTATCTATCTATCTACCTACCTATCATCTATCTATTTATTATCTATTTATCTATCGATTGATCGATTAATCAATCTATCGATCGATCTATATCTATCTATCATCTATCTATCTATCAATCTATCTATTCGTTCCCCAAAGGGGACATATTAAGAGTAAAATCAAGGACTTTGCTTGCTGCCCTTTTAATGATCCTCAACCTTACTCTCCCTCTCTCTCTCTAAATAATTCTTATGCTTAACAAAAGACATCACATTTGATTTTTAAAGTGACATACCTCTGAGCATCCTCCGAGATTCTGAGTCTTTGGTCATGGTTGCCAGCGAGTGAGGGAGCACGCTGCCACAGCTGTTGCTTTGTCCCAGGGGCAAGTGAGCCTGTGAGAACCGGGAGGAAACACTTCAGGCAAACTGCAGCCCAGTGGCCCTTCAGGACACGGACACATCCCTGACCCACGGCTCCTTTCTAAGCACAGAGGGCAAGACAGGAAGGTCTTCCAACCCATTTGTGGATGCTCAACGATAAAGACCAGTTGCTGTCCCTCTTAAGGAGCTCCGTAGAAGTCTCCCCATCACAGTGGTTCCTCCAGTGGCAGCAATTCCAAAAAACAGGGGAAACACTTGTTCTCCAAAACCACCATTGAGAGCAACTCAAAGTTTTGCATGCATAAGGAGCAGAGGGCAGATGCAGGGGCAGGAACGTGCAGGGCATGCACCAAGACAGAGCAGACCTACCCTGCGACACGGGGGCCAATTCCCACCTCCCTCAGTTACCTAGTGGGCTGAAATCTATAAACTCCTCCAGTGGTGCTAGCACTCTTTAATAGCAGAATCCTTTATAAAAATATTTTTCGAACACCAGTTTATATATTAGGACACTAGTTCAAAACAACACTACTCTAAGGTCAAAGAAAGAGGCCCAAAGCCTGTCGCCTCAGAGCCTCCTTGTCCCCTGTCTTTCCTCCTCTTCCTGCAATGACCCCTCAGGCATATCAGCAGAACATGAATGAGGGTTTAGGCATTGGACCACATGAGTTCATATTCCAGCTTCATGACTAATCAACTGAGGGCACTTGGGCTAGTCACTTAGCTTCTTTATACCACAGTTTATCCATATGTTCAATGAGGATCATAATTAGTATCTCTACTGAATAGTCTTGCTGGATTTTAAAATAAGACAATCCACATAAGGCATTTAGCCCAATGTCAGGTTCAGAAATGACTCAATGAAAATCTGGTCCTATTATTCCTGTAATCCAGAGCTCGTATCTTCCAATTTCCAGATGTGGGATGTAGCCACAGGAGTCTGCCACATGAATACCACCTACCACTTGTGTGGTGTGGCAGAAAATACCCTGGGCCAGGTTCTTTGGTCACAGAGCATACAATTCCAAACGTCCTCTGAGAAAGATAGAAAATGCAATTTAGTCATCATGTCTGCCTGACAAGCAAACGTAATGATTTATTATTTAGCATTTTCTTTAAGGACGTTGGAGCACCTGTCAACATGAGGACGAGAAGACTCCCTGAATGTGAAGCCCACAGTTCTCCCCATGTCCTACCTTCGGGGCGGTGCTTCTCCCCATGGTAGCACTGCTGAAGTGTGGGGACATAGAAGGAGTGCTTTTCTTTCGAGGCAAAGTGTCACTCAGATAGAGGCCTTCTTTATGCTGCTTTTTCCTCTCTTCCAGACTTCTAAAGTGCTTTAAATGCAAATGTAAAGCAGAATAGCAAAACTTGACTAATTGAAACAGGTCACTGAGGAAATTAAGAAGTATGCATTTACCAAGAAGTTTGAGAATTTTAACAAATTTTCTTAAAATCCAACTCATACTTGTGTTCACTAGCAGACTTGGGCTAGGTAGCATTTGGTAAGTTACATAGGCAGCAGCAGATTTTTTTTTTTTTTTTTTTTTTTTTTTTTTTTTTTTTTTTTTTTTTTTACTGAACCTAGAAACAAAGGGGGAAAAAAAAATCCACCTTTCACTCTCATAATGCCTGCTGCTTTGGGGCCTCAGGACAACTTACAAATGAATATGATGGTCGCCATGTGGATGGCGGAACAGCCAGTGGACAAAGCAAGTAAGCAGTTTCTCCCCTTGTCTGTCTGGACAGTTCTGTGTGGTGGCACAGATCCCAGTGTGAGGAGAACAAGAAAGGGAGAAGGAAGAAGACGAAGAGAAAGAGCAAGTAAACAGGGGAGCTGTTTTAAAGTTAGAATAATATTTCAATCACTTAAACACACTCCAAATCAGCATAACGTTTCCATAAAAGGCATCCTTCTAGGTTACTTTTTATTTTTATTTAAAAAAGATCTTGGCCAAGAATCCTGTATAATAATCCTTCACATAAAAAAAAAAAAAAAATCCTCCCGTTGACTATTTTTTTCCCTTCCTTTCAGATTCCTAAGGCAAAATTTTGCCAACTTGACATTTATCCAAAAATTTCTTGGCCTCTCAAAAAAAAAAAATGTCTTCAATAGTGAAGTTATTTTCTAGTTAAAGTTTCTTTAGGTTTGATCATTTTTACAACTAAGCTTGGGCTTTTGAAATATGTAAAAATGAATGCAAATTTGAGTTACCAAATTCCTTCTTCTTCTTTACATGTACCAATCATGAAATATACCTGCATTTTTACTTTAACATTATCTAGTTATAGTAGCTAATATATATCCTTTAACAAAGGGTAATAGAGAGTCAAGGTACCTTCAAGAAATGTGAGGGCTGGGCACAGCACAGCAGGGTTTGCCTATTTCGGGGATCTAATGTCTATGCCTCCTTTGGCCCTCTGGGGCCCAATTCACATAGGAATTTGATTATAATTTAAAGGAGGCTCATAAGAGAGTTTTAAAACATGAGTATGCAAAAGCACTGAATGTAGTAAAAGGAGGGCAACATTAAGAACAACAAATATGTATTTCTTAATCTGGTCAATATAAACTCTTGTTCTACGGCCCCAAAACACTACCTGGGTAGCATTGGACAAACTATTTACTATACTGAGCCTCAGTTCCCTAAATGTCAATATGCAGTTAATTCATATTTCACAAGATTATTTGAATGGAGAAATGAGATGTTTATTTGTGAAATGTTTAAGAAATTTTGACACAGAGTAAAGGAATGATGATTAATGATGAATTATGGTTTCAATAATGTATAAAATAATGTTGTGTTGACACAGCAACTTTTATACCATGGACTTTATGGAAATATTAATCACTATTTTGAAAATACCCAAGATAATTTGTAATATTTTGGTTGAGTGAAAACTAATGTATGAGAATATAAAATTAGCTCCAACATATCAAAACTCAGGAGAGGATAGCCAAGGTCCCAAACTTATAACATTCCCCACACCCACAGACCTCACTAAATGTCCTTTAAAAAGAAAATCAGCAAAGGAGTATGCACCTTGTCTTCTTAAGAAATTTCTTTGCAAAAGTTGAAGAAAAGGTTTACAAGCTCTGAACACCAGTTCCTAATTACCTGTTGCTCCTGCTGCTGCTGCCTTCTGTGTTTCTTAGCTGGTAGAGGAGGAGGTGTGTCATTTAAAGGGAGGGGACTGACAGATGGAGCCATGACTTCAGGCCAAGGGGCTGATGGAGGTTGAGTGACAGGATGAGGAGAAAGGGTAGAAGGAAACATAAATCCAGGACAGACAGATGATCTTTGCTTCATGGAGGGAAAAAAAAAAAAAGTATTCATGTGTCCATGTAAAATGAAAGAATAATGACAAAGAAATGAAATAAATAACCTCATTGTTATCTTTTGTTTATATTTTAATCAAGAAATCACAAATGATGGGCTGTATCTTTTCATTTAGCCTCTAGTGAAAACCCCAACCTGCAAGCAACTTAGATGAGCAGACAGTATTTTCATTTATTATTATTCACCCATTTCCAGATGTTTTAAAAAGGCATTACACTAAAAACAAAACAAAAAACACCAAAAAAACAAACAAAAAAAACAACCATACTGCAAAATGTAACAGAAAACAAAATTGGCCCTAGCTAGTTTGGCTCAGTGGACAGAGTGTCGGCCTGTGGACCTGGTTTGATTCCGATCACGGGCACGTACCTTGGCTGCAGGCCTCTCCCTGGCCTGGGCCCTGGTCGGGGCTCATGCAGGAAGCAACCAATCAATGTGTTTCTCTCACATCGTATTTCTCTCTCTTCCTCTCTCTCTAAAATCAATGGAATAGCCTCAGGTGAGGATTAAAGAAAACAAAAGAAAACAAAATCAAACTGGAAAGGTGATTCAAACCAACAATTTTAGAGACTTTGATTTTTAAGCTAGATCAGGTTAGAGTACTCAGATATAGTGTTTATATTTTTGAATTTACATCTAGCAGTCCACTCTGTCCCATATATATCATGGCTTCTTGTGTTACAATTGTTAGAGCAGTACCCCCAAATGGATATGTTTTTCAAACTCAATTATCATTTTGACCCTCTGGTCAACCAGACGTGTATTTTTCACAAGTGCCCTCATTTTCAGTTAACCAGGGTTAATTTTTGACATGAGGAAAGCAGTGAATGAATGAAATGTCATGCCAACACACCTCTTTATTTTGTGGCTGGCTCACCAGTACAGCTGTGGTAGGCCCAGTGGCAACAGCATCAGCGTCAGCAGGGAACTGAGTGGAAGGGGATAGATTCGTGGAATTGCCACATGGCTCATTAATTTCATTTACACTGATATAGCCCTGAAAGGAGGAATTTAGAAATTAAACACAAAGAAAGCAAAAGCTGAGGCATGCGAGAGTATTAATGCTCTAATACAATGGAGTTAGCTTTGAGCAGCACAGCCAGATATCTGTGGTATTATCAAATGTTTCATCAGGAAGTTATTGGCAATTAAAATGGATTTACAGTGCTTAATAATGAAAAATGATATTCCAGACATTACAATTTTTCCCCCTGTTGAAATTATACATAACCCAGCATCGTCGTTTTTAAAGTACCTGGAGGTATCACCTTTCATTCTGTTGACTGAATGAGGTTGTCATTACACAACATTAAAATAATCACACACACACACACACACACACACACACACAAATAAGAGATATAAAATTGACAATGTATTCATACACTCTCTATTTCAAGAGCCTTTTCCACATTATTTTTAGATTTTTCTCTCTTCTTCTGTTTCCTGATAAAGTGTGAGTGAATGTTGACTGAGGGCTACTGTTTTTTGCTCTAAGACATTTTTAAAAACAATAATTTATCTGTAATGGAATCCAATTTTTGGGCATCTCAATTAAATGAGAATAAGAAGTACACTGTCCTCTAGTGAGCTTCTTCTAGCAAGACACATGAATAAGCACACACACACACACACACACACACACACACACACACACTTTAAGATGGAGCTGCAACTTGAGGGTATTTCAATTCAAGGCAGCTCCCCCAACTCCCACTCTTAAATTCAATGAATCAATTTTGGCTTCAGCATAAATATCCATAAGTCAAAGCCTGTCATTTTCAAACTCCTGAATTTATATTTGAGGAAAAGGCACTTGCAAATTTTCATGGAAAATAATTATATAGACCAATCATGATTTTCACCACACCAATAAACCAGTATGAAAAAAGAATGAAGATTAGGAAATAGTATCTTTTTCAAAGGTAAAATAGTGTTAAATTTAACACTGAGGTTCTTCTATTAGCTCATCAATCTTTTCAAAAAATGGCTCAAAGAAAGGCAAAATAACGTTATGCTGATGAAGCAAAAATTCCAGGCTAGAAAGCAAGGCTTTACTGAGAATTATAATTATGAGAAAGTGGGAATTGACTGTTTATAAATTGGAGGTATCAAAATGCTGCTGAATTAGTCTCACACTTCAGATAGAGGCAATGAATACTATGTAAAGTTTTATAAGATTAAATGGAAGAAAGGCCGCATACAACTGGGTTGTGCAAATTTCATTTTATCTTTGATAATGAATCAGAAATGAAGAGTAACAACTTCTGAGTTATTCTTTTGCTCAGTTGATAGTAGAATGTTTCATAGACCACAAAACCAAATTAATTGATTAAAGAAATGTTGAAGCTTGTCAAAAGTGGGACTTGTTTAAAAGTTAGATATAAATTCACCACTCCATAAAAACAGAGAGAGAGAGAGAGAGAGAGAGAGAGAGAGAGAGAGAGAGAGAGAGAGAGAGAGAAGGAAGGAAGGAAGGAAGGAAGGAAGGAAGGAAGGAAGGAAGGAAGGAAGGAAGGAAGGAAGGAAGGAAGGAAGGAAGGAAGGAAGGAAGGAAGGAAGGAAAAAAAGAAAAAGGGAAGGAAGGAAAAAAGGAAGGAAGTCAAAACAACTTGTGAGTCGTTGATTTGGTCCATGAAACAGAACACATAGCTACTCAAAAGAGTTGCAGACATGCAAAAATAATAAAAAAGCCAAATAGCCTTTTGGAACCAGGAAGTCTGCAGAGAAAAAGAACAACTCATTAATAGAAAAGGAAAGATTTTATTCTTCTATGAAGAGATAGAGACCTTAGAGCCTACTTAATTCCTTGGATGCTATAAGCCTTTCAGACTCACTGTGTCCAGAGTCAAATGGCTTATCTTCCCTCTTGAGCCTATTCTTACCCTAGTCCTCCCTTTCTTAGGAAAAGGTACTCGGTATCCATCTCATTATTCAAACTGGAATAATGACATGACTCCTGACACCTTCCTTAATTTACTTCATCTCTACATCCAGCCTATCAACAAGAACTGTTACCTTTGGTTCCAAGATACTATATCCACATCCAGCTAATTCAATTTCTGTGCCACTGCTTGAATCTGAGCCCCCAGCATCTCCAACCTACACTATTGCAATCATCACCACGCTGGCTTCCTGCCATCTCCTGCTCCTTCTTCTAATCCAGTACAGCAGCTTAGAGCGAGGTTTAACAAATGGATATCAAGTGATGTCACCTCCCAACTTACAACCACTCAGGGGCTTCCCATCCATACAACATAAACCATGTTTCTTTCAAATGGCTCACAAGACCTAGCCCCTCCCACCTTGCTAACATTCTATATATGGCTACACTGCATTCATATTTACCCCTGTCCATTGAATCTGCCAGTTCCATGTTCTGAATTATGGGAAACTATGAAACGGAATTATCTAATACAGCTTTTGTGGAAACAGTTCACAAACTGCGTCTGCGGTACTCATTAAGCACACCTGCTATGTGATGAACATTTACTTCACATACTTGCCCCCTTCCCCCCCCTAAAAAAAAAAATTCTTACTATGCACGAATTCTTAACTTTGATGTCTTTTGAAAAGCAATTTATAAATAAAGAGGTTGTTATTATGCAAATTTTTATGTAGAAGCAAGCTTTGTCCTTAGCTTTTTGTAGAATATAAATATAAAAAGTTTTCTTTCTCAGTAAAGGTTATACTTTTCCTAATTAGAATTAAAATAGTCACCATTGTAGCAGTGTAGCTCTATCAAAAGATATTTAGGAAAGAAGAGTGTCTGGGTCTGGGGGAACATGGATGTTTGGGATAAGGAATGTATATAGTTTAATATAAAACTGCAAGAAGGAAAGACGAGAATTTAAGACTAGTTTTGGTCTGGAACCTAAATTTTTTGAAACTCCGAGTTAACTCACAATGTCACTGTCAAGCAAAGTAGGCACATACACACACATACACACAGGGCATTTGCATAAGACACAAAAATAACCCCTTAAATTCTCAAAGCAAAAATAATGAAAGGCAGGAAGGCTAGCGACACGTGGAGTGCTTTCCTAAGTCCTTTATGCTCATGTTTTTCCTGTTCCGCTAATCACAGAAGACCGAGGTGCACGTCTTGATGTCTAAGGTGGTAGGAGTGGACATGTAAAATCACCGCTCACCTCTTTTAGAGTATTCGGGTTGACAGGAAACCCTTTCCCCCCCGAGAGGCTGGAGTATTTCTTTTCCAGATTACAAAGGTTTTCCTTTTCCTGAAAGAACACAAAATCTATTAAGTTTAATCAACCTTGGATTTCCCTGATGACTAATGACCTTTAATATTTCTGCTTTTTAAAAAAAATTACTTATTGGGTGTTTACGTGTTATTATTGAGTCATAGGAGTTTTTAATACATTCTGGATACAAGTTCTTTGCCATTTCCTCTTTAAAAAAATATCTTTCTTTACCCCAGGACACTTACACTCCTATAATTTCTTCTGGAAACTTCATCACTTCAAGTTTTAAGTTTAGATCTATGAAATTAGAATATGGCCAGATTAGGAAATCTGGTTGTGGAGGAATCCCTTCCTTGTAGCCACTTTAGGGACCGGGGTATGGACATGGTCCCTTTGGTGAGGCTAATCTTTACCCTAAAAGTCATTCTTAGATTGCAACCTACTGCTCACTATTAAAAGGCACTTGCTTTGAAGGAAATGGCTTTCCCCAAATTTCCAGTGCTGAAAGGGAAGCACTTACTCTTTGCAGCATCATTATTAAGTTATTCTTTTCTTTCACAAAGTGGTCTTGTTCTCTCTGAGCCTGCTGGACAATGTGATTGGCTTGCTTTTTCAATGCAGAAATTTTTTCCTGGAGGAAAAGATGATGATCATAGAAAGATGCAAATTAGACATACAAAGGTTTGCCAGTCTGTCCTGGAAACAAGAGAAAAGGTGTTTATAGCTGGAATAATATTCTCATTGATGGCTGGCCGTGGTTACTACCCAGAGGCAGTTTCCTAGACCGCCAAGCTCCTGGCTTTTCCTTACCTAAGGCCAACACAGTTCCAGCGGTTTAAAATCTATTTGAAGAACACAGAAGTCAACAGGAAATCTCGTTTTAGACTATCAATGAACTTTTGGCATCATCTTGGGAGACGCCTTATGGGAAAAACAATGAAATTTCTTACTTAAACTGAGAGCCTAAGAAGTCACCTTTTTCTTTTCTTTTTTCTTTTTTTTTTTAATATATTTTATTGATATTTTACAGAGTAGGGAGAGAGAGAGAGAGAGCTAGAAACGTCGATGAGAGAGAAACATCGACCAGCTGCCTCTTGCACACCCCCTACTGGGGATGTGCCCGCAGCCATCGTACATGCCCCTGACCGGAATCGAACCCGGGACCTTTCAGTCCACAGACCGACGCTCTACCACTGAGCCAAACCGGCTTTGGCAGAAGTCACCTTTTTCATCATCCCTTTGCTCAAGTTTTTGGGTTTAGTCCAGAGTGCTGGGGTGTGATTCTAAATTCTGGAACAAGAGCTGATTTCTGGGCTGGGCATCTGGGAGCTAGGGGTTGGGAGGAGTCAGTCATGTGCATGGCATTCATGGCGCTATTTCTAATGGTGACAAGCTATCAGCCAGCTTTGCGAAATACTGAGCAATGGACGGAGAAAGTTTCCAAGTAGATTTTGTTCATACAATTATTCTGAATCTAGCTACTATGATTGCAAAAAGGAAGTAATTGAAAATAAATGCCGAAATTTTGGATTTTCTCTACCTCTGTTTTCACATAAGAAAAAAAAAGGCATTATTTATATTATAAATGCATCCACAGCATTAAGTAACAATAGCTATAACATGTAATGTTTATCTAGTTTAAAACACCATTTGGCATATAGATGGCAGGCTCCATCATCGGCAAAATGGGATATGTGATTATACACTCAAAGACATTCAGAAGTAAGGACAGGCAGATAGACACATGCGTTGGCTGTATTAATGATTACTATGGTCACAGAGTGAGGGGTTTATTGTGATGTTTGCCTTGAAGGACACCCGGCAAACGTACCTTTCTAGAAACAATGTTCCGTTGATATTCAGCCACCTCACGCAAGAGCTGTTGGGTCAGGTTCTCCTTCTCCTCATCCAGGCGGCTCTCATGCTCTAGCTGCTGGAATTCCAGGTCCTCAAAGTGTTTGCTCTCAACATCCAACAGGTCGGCATCCTTTGGAGAAAAGCAAATGAAAACAAGACACATCAGAATGGCTACAGCCTTTTTAATGTGAAGAAAATTTTTTTAAAAAGCAAACAGTCCAAAATATCTTTTCAATTACAACATCAAACAGGGTTATACTATGGTATTCCTTTCCTTTTGGAATTAACCCCCAGTTCAGAGACTATTATTAGAATTGAAAAGGACTTTGGGGTAGGGGGTGGGGACACATTTATTTCACCATTGAATTTAGACTGCTTTGTGGACAAAGAAACCCTTGCTTTAAGTCTACTAGGAGGCTTTAAAATGGATCACAAAGTATACAAAGAATTCAGTGAATAACATAAATACTATCAGCAGACCAAAGGTGTGACATAGTCTCTTGAGAAAATTCCCATTTTCTACAAAGGGTCAAATAAAATGGGACTTTAGGGATTAAATTCAAGTTTTCAAAGTTGTTGACTATAAACAAACAAACAAAAAGTTGGCATACATAACAGACAAGAGGACTCTAAGGGGGATAATATGCCTCAAATGGCACACCACACAATCCACAAAGATGTGAAGAGAAAATATTAGAGCTCCTTTATACTTAATTTTAGTTTTTCCTTTCCTTTTACAATTCCTCAATACATATTCTTTAATCTACATACAGATAAAATAACATATATACATGATTTAAAATAAATATATTTTTGAGCATACATAAGTATATATATATGATCAATGTAATATATAGGCATGCATGCTCACATAATTTTTGAGGAGTGGTGTAATCAAACATATTTGAAGATTGGGGTTTTTAAAAAACTGTTTACTAAACTTCTTAGTGGAAAGAAGGGACCACAGCTCTCATCAGGCACAAAGAGAGATTCAAAGATTACATACAGTACTCTGGGTAATCTTGAGGACACTTAAGAAAGATTTAAAATCATAAAAATCAGATGATCTAGAACAGGCATTCTCCAACTCATAAGATGCCTGAAGACAACAATGAATCTGTATCTTTGCAAAAATCCACCCGTGTTGAATAAGTTATTCTCCAACCTATTTTTAAAAATATATTTTATTGATTTTTTTACAGAGAGGAAGGGAGAGGGATAGAGAGTTAGAAACATCAATGAGAGAGAAACATCAATCAGCTGCCTCCTGCACACTCCCCACTGGGGATGTGCCCACAACCAAGGTATATGCCCTTGACTGGAATCGAACCTGGGACTCTTCAGTCTGCAGGTCGATGCTCTATCCACTGAACCAAACTGTTTAGGGCTCTCCAATCTATTTTTTTTTTAAAAATAACCACTCCTTTACTTTTGGAGCTTTGACAGAACTATAAATGTGGTATGTATATATTTTTAAAAATATATAATTTTTAAGAAGAGGCAGCTGAACATATGGATTTCAGCTCTTCACAGGCAAAAAAGGCAATACTTTTTTTTCAATCAAAACATCAAAGAGTTAAAAAAAATATCATAATTTAGATCTACATCAGTATTTAACTCTATCCACCTCCTAGTTTTTATGTAAGTGATAATAAATTAAATCTTTTAATTAAATGGAATATATTTCTATTTTATGGAATAAATTTTATTCTGAGTATGATTTACAGAAGAGATATTAACTACCATGTTAGCCATGTGATTAAAACCAACACTATAGCAACAAAAGTGCATTCTCAAAGCTTAAGAGCAGAAAAAACAATTTGAAAAATTGATCATTTAAAACTTCTTTACAATTAAATTGGCAAGTCCAAAATATGCTTTTGATTTCAAGTTATTGCCTGACATTTCAAGTTTCTCAGACATTTGATGTTTATAATTTCTAAAGAAATTAATAAATTCAGACCAAATCTAGTCTCTACTGAAGAAATTAAGAGAAAACTCAAGTATCATGTCTTGAAACAAATATTAAGTCTTATAGTCTTAGAGCAATACATTAGCTGATATATTTATTCATACAAGTAAACACACTAATTTTTAAAGTTTTTCCGTTAAGATTGGTTTGTGTCTAAATGCTATTGAGATAAAAATTTAATAAACTTTTTTTTTTAGTTTATAGATAATCTACATTCAAAGTGGATATATGGCTCACAATATATACACTATGCTAGCAGTTCCTCACTCCACATCTGGCTAACATGCAGTATGTTATTTTAACCGCACAAAGGTCAGAGAGCCACTAATTAATTTGTAGTAAATATTTAAACGGCTGTATGACAATAATAGTACACTAGAAGGGAAACTGGAAAAATAAAGCTAAATTGGGCACTGAGATTCCGTGGGTGTAATCATCTGATCAAGTTATCTAAACTATCAAAAAGTGTGTCTATAAACTTAAACTGTGAAAGAAAAACAAGTTAGGAGGGCATAAAAACATTTAAAAGGCATTAGATCATACAAATTTAGGGGATAGAAATTGGGGGCAGAGGCAGTCTCACTGAGCACAGAACAATAGAGGCTCCGGTAAGTGTACGATGAGTTGAATGAAAATCTGAGCTCACTTCACTACGAGAAGAAGAAATCGTTACTGCTGGCAAGCTTAAAGACCGGGTGTGAAAGGCCCTGAAACAGCTCACTAAAGAAAATTCAGTGTGAATCCTTCTTTTCTTTCCAGTAACTTTGGAGAATTCATATGGCAGAGTTTATATGTACATCTTTAATGTTTTCTTTGCCTTGTAAAGGAAGAAGAGAATAGATGTGGTAAAGCCAGGAGAGATTAAAGTAATGATCTCATGACAGCTCAATGCCAAGTCTGAAAGAAAATTTAAATGGGGCTCAGGCTTTAACATTCCTGCATCTTTTTTTTAAATATATCTTATTTATTTTTTTACCGAGAGGAAGGGAGAGGGAAAGAGTTAGAAACATCCATCAGCTGCCTCTTGTAAATCCTCTAACTGAGGATGTACCTGAAACCAAGGGTACATGCCCTTGACTGGAATCGAACCTGGAACCTTTCAGTCTGCAGGCCGACCTCTATACACTGGGCCAAATCGGTTAGGTCAACATTCTTGCATCTTATGTTGTATAGTCAAACATTTTAACTGCATACTTTTGGAATTTGGAAAGATAATGGTACAATGATACATCTAGTGCAACCTCTTCATTTTATTCAGGAGGACCCAGGAAAGTTGAATGACTTGTGCAAGATTAAATTATAAACTGATTATAGAGTCAATGATAAGGTCTCCCAATTATAGATATTATGGTGCCCTGATGGTGTTGCTCAGCTGTTGAGTGTCAACCTGTGAACCAGGAAGTCATGGTTCGATTCCCAATAGGGGCACATGCCCAGGTTGTAGCTCCATCCCATGTGGGGCCTGCATGTGGGGCCTGCATGAGGCAGCCAATCAATGATTCTCCCTCATCATTGATGTTTCTCTCTCTCTCTCTCTCTCTCTCTCTCTCTCTCTCTCTCTCTATCTCTGAAGTTAATTAAAATATATATATATGAAATAATTTTTTTTTAAAAAAACAAGAGCCTAAATCAATTAGGCAGCTGAATAAATAACCAAAGCACAATAAATTGTCCTAGCCAGGTGTTGCCTGCATTAAATAATGGAACCTATCCTGGCAAATAAAAGTCTCATTTAATTTCAGCTTTCTTTCCCATACTACTTATACCCCGGGGAACAATTTGATTGGTGAGCCCATATCCACTACATACTATTGCAGGCCATGAAACAATATCAGAGGAAAAGTGCAATCTGACTCTAAAAGCAATGATTTAGAGGTAAGAAGTGCAGTCATAAATCCCTAGAATTGAATACACAAAATCAACCTATAATTTCAGCTTAAGTATTTGAGACAACATACAGTTTAAGAAAATGATGTTCTTCCTATTCCGTTATGATTTTATTTTGTATAACTTGCCACCTAATGAAATTTGTTGTAATAAAACCTAGTACTTTATTGAATCTAGTTAAAATGCCTTGGGGGAAACTTTTTGGTGAAATATTAGATAGTAATCTGAAATGTTTGAGGTCTGAAGGGAAATGAATTGTGGTAACACAGAAAAGTTTCACTCCTCATGAAATAAGTGAACTTTTTACTGATTAAGCCAACGAATTGGTGAAGAGTTACTATGGTCGTTATTCCTGAAAAAATAGAATTGATATCAAGAGAACAGAAGCTATCACAAGCCAGTTTTCCTCCTAAGAAAAAGGGTTTTATGGTAAGTATATTATATTGGGGAGGAAGAGGAAGAAATCTTTGCCTTTAATTAGTGAAATATGCTTTCTACATAATTTCCTTTCCTCTTTTGTACTCAAAATCCTTAGAATGTATACAAATTTTTGAGTTATCCTATAGAAGCTAGATTAAACAAACAGCAGTTATATCAACCTGAGTTCAGTTTATTAATAGAATCTACCAATTTTTATCTGAAGTGATGTTTATAAAGAATACAAACAATAACTGCATAACTAGAGGAAAAAGAATGAACAAAATATATAACTATGTTGCTGACTCATAGTATTTCAGCTATGTAAAAACTTTAGTAATAAGGAGAGTTGAAAAATATTAAACAACTATAAAAATCAGTTTCCCAAACTCTTTTGTGAACTGACATAAACACAAATAAATGACAAACTAAAATAATTTTATAAATGCTATTATTCTTTTCCTAATCATTGATACAAGATTTCCAGAGAATGGTGCCATTGAGGGATTAGGAGTTTTCTCTTCTTAGAGCAAATTTAGCTGTACACGATAAAAAGAGTGACAAGGAAGAAACACTGTTGGAACTTCCTTGGATCCAACATTGTAAGAAATAACAAGTATTAAAACTGTTATGCTGCTGTTTAACTTCTCTGCATTTGGCACTCTTTATTAAGATGCTTTCCACCTCTGCCATATACAGAAAAATTTTAACTAATTTTTCATAGCTTATCATGCTCAAGGCATCAAATGTCTTTGTATTAAAGGTCATCTTAAATATTTTTGAGGATGGGCTATCTTATTTTTCAACCTGGGAAAACTCAAGGAGGTAGACATAATGGCATGAATGAAACTAGCCTTCTTTTCTACTCATGTGGAATCATAAATTGTTAGTCACTCAAGACTAATTACTATTATGTGATTTCTTTGAAAGTCCAAGACTTTTAGTGATTGCTTACCCGTGGTCACACTTTATTTGGGCTTCTGTTTGAGGAACTAAGAAGTGGCCATTACCAGTAGTTCTGAAACCATCCACATAGTCGTGTTTTCAGAGCGTGGCCGTGTTCGGCACTGCCAGCGTCATGGATCAGTGAATAACCTGATGAAATTCAACTGGAAGGTCTGTGCTGCACTAAGTGTTTCAAAATCATGAAATTCACGTATAATATATTGAGGCCACTAGTACTGCCCTGCATCTTGAGTCTGAATGCTTGGTTGGTGTGATTGTGCTCGTGTGTTCAGTGTCACTACTAGTAAGAAGTAGAAGGCAAAACCATACACTAAGCGATGGTGGGGAGCAAACAGAATAGGAGAATTTTTAGAGAAGAGGATAAAATCAAGCTAAAAAAATATTCAAGGGCAAATAGTATTCCCAATGCAGCGCAGAATGGGGTGAAGATGTCAGTTGATTTAAATGCTACAATCTTGGTGATCATTACATGTCAGGAATTGCTCTCTTTAAAAAACTAAAACAGAAAACAAACAAACAAAAAGGCACCCCAAAACAAAGAATATTTTTACATTATCATTTAGGTGAAGGTAATTTTTAACTGATTAGCATGATATAATAGATACTGTCAAGAATGCATATTTCTGTTTAAAAAAATATCTAATGACCAGAACTTAGCAAATTTATGATATGTGAAAAAGGAAGTTGGAGTAAGTGGAATTTAATTGAAAAAAACAAAAACAAAACAAAAAAAGAACAAAAAACAATGGGCACATTCCTGTTTGCTACTGACCCTCTTCAGCTGCTGCTGTAACTGTTCCCGCATGGACTCAGGACAAGTGTCCAGCTGGGTCTTCTGCTCGGAGTAAAGCTCCTGAAGCCTCTCTAGTTTTTCCCTTTCAGCATCAAGCTTTACCTTCTCCTGAAGTTCAGAAATCAGAAAATAGAAGAATAGAAATTACCTTCACACCTAAGCAGGCGTTAGTGAACATTTCCCAAGGATAACACATACAGTACAGTATATGCAAACTCTAGATGTCCTATGAACGCAGAAACATAGGTTAGTGACTAGGAACAGGGGGTATAAGTAGAAGTAGAAACAAGGGACCCATTTCTGTATTCTCAAAACACAATCGACCTCCTGGAGCATTGGTAATGACCCCCTTCTTCCTTCCTTCCTTCCTTCCTTCCTTCCTTCCTTCCTTCCTTCCTTCCTTCCTTCCTTCCTTCCTTCCTTCTTTCCTTCCTTCCTTCCTTCCTTCCTTCCTTCCTTCCTTCCTTCCTTCCTTCAACATAATCGACCTCCTGGAGCATTGTAATGACCCCCTTCTTCCTTCCTTCCCTTCCTTCCTTCCTTCCTTCCTTCCTTCCTTCCTTCCTTCCTTCCTTCCTTCCTTCCTTCCACATTACAAAAGCTGGGGAAGCAACAGTAGTGTTGGTCAATGGTCAACAAAAAACAAAAGCAATGCCAACAGAATTCATAAGACAGCCTTGCAGAGTCACTTGGCAGAGAGCCAGACAATGAAAAACAGGCATTTACCTCAAGTACTGTGGTAGTCCAATTTGCTCAAGACATTTCTTAGGCAAGCTTTGGAAATCATTGAAATTTTATTCCCATATCAGAGGCACATTAGGCACTTTAGGTAATACCCTGGCATCCCAAACAGTTCTAGCTATCTGGTAAACCTCAGTGCTTAAGCAATTTGAGGATCTGATTCCCAGGAGGACATCTAATTCAGAGGCTGAGAGAGTTAGGAAAAAAAAAAAAGATTTGACTAAGCAGTGAGAGGAAGGTATGCTAAGAGACATGGAATGTGTGACAGTGTGACATTTACTGTGGAGATAGAACTTCCCCTACAAGGACTGACTAAAAAATAAGTGAAACATGGACTGTGGAAAAAGAGAAAACACCCAGGAGTCAGAGAATGGAGAGAAAGGAAAAGACAGCACTAAATCCCACCGAAGTCACACACTCCAAAGTGACCCCGGACATTTTCCAGAGTGTAATAGGTGAATCTGTAATACAGCGATTACCAGGCCTTCCAAGGCCACTTGGTAAACAAACAAAACTTCAATCTGTTTAGTGCTGGTCTTCCCAACTTGCGTTCCCTTTATGATACTCTGAACCCTTGACATAAACTTCAGACCTGATTCTCTCTTTGCACAACACTCTCAGACTACACAAAAGCATTTTATGAAGCATGACCACCGTTTCACCTCAGTAAGCAAAATACCATGTCTTTCCTTTCCTTCGTTCATTCTGTGTGAATTAGTAGAAATAAAACTGGCTTCTAAGTATATTACGGAAGTATTTTTTTAAAAGATGAAGCTCTGAAATAGTCCTATGAAATTATACTTACTATAACTTCTTCATCCAAATGGCCATGATTTCCTGTGTAAATGCTTTATAAAATACATTATGGTTTTTTTTTTTAAGTCTAAAATGATTCACTTGAGTGTCTATTTTTCACTTAAATTTTAAAGTGTCAAGAACATTTTAGAAATGTATGTTTTGATTTAGAAATGCATTCTTTTCTCAAAATGATTAAATCCAGAAATCATAAAACTGAAATCCTACTTCATATATAAACCTAAAAATGATTCTGTAACTTATACCTCAGCAGATTATAAGTACAGTGCCCTGGCCTGTAAAGGCAAGTCTGCTCATTGGGAGAATACATTGAGCAGGAATTGGAGAAAGTAATGACACTGTTCAGAGAAAAAAAGGATTCTCAACTGTTGATTCACAGTAAATCTGAATTTACTGGCAGTACCAGTTAGATTTAGTCTTTGCTTTTAGAATCAATCATCTTTCCCTTATAAAACCAGCAATACAGAGTACCCATTGTCTTTTGGCCAATAAAATGTATTTCCCCTGTGTGTGGATCAAAGATGGCCCTCTTTAGAGAGCAAATATTGTTATCCAAAAACAATTCTATTTCTAGATATTACATCACCAAATTTTGCAGTAAATCTAGTTCCAAACAGGAAGTTAATCTAATAAGCAAACCATTTATTCCAATTAAATACCATAAGTTCAAAGCCCACAAATTTAAAGTTATATTTGATGAAAATCACGAATACAATATTTGATAATATGAAAAGGTGCTGGCCTAAAACACAGGTCTCAATCCAAAGAAATAAACAATTGCTCTGAAGCCCTCATTTAAAAAAAATTGTTACCAATAGATCACAAATGAACAGCTAATAAAAAATACCTCATGTTTACATAGTGCCTTCTTCCTGAGGTGCTCAAAACGTTTTGCAATCCCATACAAGGGGGCGGTTAGAAGAATTATGCAAGCAGGCACCATCAGAACCTTCTGCAGCTTCTCTGAGTTTTACCAGTAAGGCTGTGACCGCTACCTAGGTTTCAGTGGGGCCAAAGCTAGGGCAAAGGAAATAAAGGGGAAGGATGAAAGAAGGACTAGTGGCAGGTGTACTGGGCCATAAATCACAGAGGTGACATCACTGCTGCCAGAGCCAGAAGTAGACCAATTCTGAGTCAGAAAGAAATTAATATTGCTCTCTCCTATTTGCTGCCCAGGAAGTTTTAAGAGGAAAATTAGCTCCAAGCAAGTAGTTAATTAGAGCTGAAAGTATCACCTAACACAGCGAAGCTGAAACAGATGGACAAATTAGACAGCGTTCTAATTGCTTTCTACAATTATTGCTTTATAATTGATTTTTACAGGGATTCTTGTTTTTTACATGTAAAATATTAAAACAGGGTGTCATTCTCTTGCCCCAGATTTAAAACTCACCTATTCCAATGACCACAGCACAGTGATATTTTTCAAACATAAAATTGGGAAAGAGTATAAAGAGTTTTTTAGAGATTCATAAAATTGATTTTCAGGAAATACATGAATTAAATTTTTAATATTTTAATGAACTTAACTTTGTTGAAAAAATAAGATTTCAAGGAATTTGGACACACCAGGAAAACCCAGGTGTCCAGGGGACATTTACAAAACTAAGAACAGATCAAGATTCCCTGGAGACACGGCTGCTTCCATCAGCACTGTTCTCACACTGACTTGTCCTCGTCACAAATTCATTGCCAGATGGTGCCTGTTTTGTGTGTTTAAGACTGATGTTCCTGAGGTGTATATACAGCCAAAAGTAAATTATTTGCGGGCAAATGAAAGTAGAAATCAGTACATACACCAGGCTTATATTTGTTTCCATAGTGAGTTGTTCATTCACTCACTCAATAAGTATTTATAATGGGCTAGGGGAAGAGAAGAGAGGGAACTTGATTACTTCTCATAAAGTACAGGCTTTTCAGCTCTGTGGTTCTTAGCCCAGACTGCACCTTAGAATACCTTCTGTGAGCTTTTCAATATGTTATTTCCAGGCCTCCACTTAGTCAGAAAGGCTAAGGAATGAGCCTTTAAAAAATCTCGCCAACCCAGTAGGAGTGGCTCAGTTGGTTGAGTGTCGTCCTGTGCACGTCCAGTCAGGGCATACACCTAGACTGTGGATTTGATGCCTGGTTGGGCACCTAAGGAAGGCAACAGATCAGTGTCCCTCTCTCACATTGATGTTTCATTCTCCCATCCTCTCTCTAAGCATGTCCTCGGGTGAGAATAAACACAAACAAAACAATAATAACAAAAATCTCTCCAATTTTTCTAACATGCAGCCATGCTAAATTACTGATGTAGCCACCCAAGCTGATGAGAAAGGCAAAAGCAATTAACTATATTTTGATTTTCCTAACGACAACACCAGATTCTACCACAAGGTACACCAGAAATTGTTTTCAAATGTTTGGTCTTAGCACCTTTGCTTCAGAATGTAAAAGGCTTCTCTTAGAAGTAACATCCCAGTTGTTTTTGTCCCAAATTTTTACATTCATATTAAATGCTTCAAGTAAACCAAAGGAAAATTGGATTGTGAGAGATTTCAATATCTAATATGCATTCAGAAGTAAATGATGCATTTCAAATTCAGGTGCAAAATGATTCTCTTCTAATAGACAAATGGTTAGGAGTGGTTATAAAGTTACCCTAAATAATCTGAACTTGCACAAAAGAATTGGCAATAATCTTGAATGAACATAATAGACCAAAAGTTGTCACAGGACCACTTATGTTTTGCTGGATCTGTCCTTAGAAGATAGTAACATAAGTTTTCTCTCTTTTAAGTTCTATTCTTGAACTGAAAGTTGACTTGTTGGTTCCATCTGAATTTCAATACCACACAGAAATTCTTGAATACCAACAACAAAAAAAATCATTTTAGCATATCTAAGTGAGCAATACTTGCTAAGCAGATGGTTCAAGATTATTCTGAAAAGATTCTTACTTTATTAGCTTGTATGGCTGCTAGTTAAAGCAGAGGACACTCAGTTAAATTTTAATTTCAGGTAAGCAATAAATTACCTTTTAATGTTAGTATGTCCCAAATAATGCACAGGACATAATTATACCAAAAATGTATTTTCTTTTCATATTGTCATGTCATGAACTCATAGGGAATGGGTTCCTGTAGCTCAGGCTCCTTTCCATTGGTTCTCACACAGTGTGCCTCTCTGGGTCGAGCCAGCTGAATCCAGGTTTCTTTCTCTGTGGCTCCCTTCCTCTTCTGATCATTTTCCTTCACATGCCCCAGGGAGCTAGCTATTTTGGCTCTTAGCGTGTTTAATACCCTCAGTGTGTACATTCATTCTATTGGCCAGATCTTGCCCTTAACTTGTTTGTTCACAACAATGTCCACCACACTGCAGACTCCTCTAGTTTTGCCACGGGGATATTTGTGAACACTGTACCTCCCTTGATGCCTACATCGCCTTTTTTTTTTTTTTTTTTTTTTTTTTTTTTTTTGTAGATTTGCATGTATGTGGCCAAAAGAACAACTCCACATTTTCTAAAAGGCCCAGAGAACATAGCAGGTGCCTCTCTTCTTTCCCTTTGT